ACAGTGCTGATAATCATAAAAGCTTGGCTAGGCCATTGTGAATAGAGATCTTACACATCTAGTAAAGAAAATATACTCCCCTTTTCCTACAGGCATTCTCCTTGGCAAAACCTGAAGAAATAGTCGAGGTAAGTCCTTTCTTTGTCTTTCCCATTCAGTTCATGTTGATTACTCGTTAGTATTATCCAGTGTCCACATTGTAATCCCTACTGCAATGCAGGATCTCCGCCATTCCTGTTGCTGGACAAACTTTTCAATGAGCTTTTATAGTAGCATTCATATCCAGATTGCAAATGATAATGACAAAAGCTTTCTCAGTGTAAATCTGTAGGCAAGGGTAGTAACATTTTTAACCCAGATTTGGTTGGTTGTTTTTGCTTTGGTGATGTTTACATTCAGGGTGTATCTAACCCTAGCGACCATAGCGTGTAGTAGATTATGGCATAGATTTTGGTAGATTTTGCAGTATTGAAGAAGGTAAAACACTGTCTTTATATGGAGCAAGATTTCCCTTCAAGTGCTGAGAATGTAACACTCATTTTTTGTACAGTGGGGCATACATGTAGAAGAGGAATTAAGATGGCTCCAAACAAAAATACCATGAAAGTTCGGGTCAAGTATCAAATGTTGGTCATTGTCACGCTCTTCCTCATTTGTAAAAAAAGCTAGTAATTTATTCTTCACAGGTCATCACATCTTAATATAAAATCCCAGTGTAGCAATGAAGGTTACATGTTATAACTTAAACACTTCAGAACTGTCCATAAAAAAGGATGCAAAATTGTCTTAACAATTGCAATACATTTACAAAAAGCTGTCTTTTGCATTTCAGACGGTGGTGTGGAAACGCTACAATGACTTCAAGAAGCTGCACAAGGCACTGTACCAGTTACATTACAACTTACGGAGGCCTGAGAAGTTTCCGGTGTTTGCAAAAGCTAAATTCTTTGGTAATTGAAAGTGTGAGGCTAAGAAGAGAGAGTTAATACTCAGCAGACTTGCTGTTTGCTCTTTATAAACCACACGGCCACTTTGCGGTCATTACAAGCCCACTCATGGCTGTCCATCAGAGACATCTCACTGACATCATCTTAGTTGTTTCACATACCTTGTTTCCCTGTAGTTAAAAAAACCTGGAGACAGTACCTTGTGTTATGTTATAACATAAACACTAGTTTTCCACCAAATGTTGCAGTGCATTGTCTTAACAGTAACAGTCTGTAAATCTCAGATGTTGTTTTGTCGTTGCTGGGTCAGTAGTGTGTTCTTAGCCTAGCTTAGCCTGGATTAATGAATTAACTTGGCTTGCCAAGTTGAAGGGGTTTTGTTCCATTCAGCCTGAATCTAGTTTCCATGTTTTGTTTTCCGCAGGTCGATTTGATGATGATGTTGTCGAGGAGAGACGTCAGAGTGCCCTTAACCTGCTGGAATTTGTGGTCAAAATTGCTCCTCTCACACGGAGCAATTTCTTTCGAAATTTCTTTGAGGTAAGATGTGTAAACCTACTCTAGAACTTTCACACGATGGAATTTGGTGTTAAGGAGTTGTTTCATCCTTCAAGTTGTTTCTTTAAACTGCCTAAATTTCAACAATTTCACCCTTTCCGCAAGCTTTATTATCCCTCTCGGGCAGATCCAGAACCAGAAAGGGGACTGTTTGTTTGGATGGAGGGTCAACAAATTTGGGAATCCTTTTGGGTAACCTTTTTATGGCCTTGATAAGGGATAAGATTATATTGGGACTTTTTATCCGCTTTTGGAAGGATGGGAAATGACAGTCAGTTTGCTTGACATGAATGACCCTGCAAATCAAAGCCACATCGTTAGTAAATCCAAAATAAGACCAACAAATTCACAGAAGATAAACTTTGGCAATCAAGAGAAATAGGGAAGAGCTTGAAAAAGAAATGAAGGAGTTAGAGTGACATGTTTTCTTTGAAGTTATTACATTTATTGCAAATAAAAAGATTGGAAACCATGATTGAAAGATTGGAAACTATGATTTCTGGATTTTGATAAAGAAATTTACTTGTAGTTTATCTTAACTTAACTTATGGTTTAGCTGAACTTTGAAGTTGCCAGAAAAGTATCAATTCATTTGTTTTTGTCTTCCAGGGAGGAGAAGAGGTCTCAATAAATCAGTCTCCTCCAGCACCCATCCTGAAGCCCAAAGTTCTCGCCCCCAGCTCTGTCAATGGCACGTCCCGCTCCCGAAGTCCTCCCAGCTGGGATTCAGCATCATCCAATCCATCGGAGGGAAGGGAGCTGGCCTTCTCCGAGGGGCAGTCCAGCAGCCCCTCCCTGGGTGGTGTGTGGCTGCACAGGCAAAACGAAGAGGACATCACAGAATACGGGACGGTTGACTACGACGATGATGATGATGACCGTACCACATTTAGTGAAGACTCAGTACCATCCACTCCGCTCCCACAACTACAAGACATGTCATTGTTTGATCCCCTCTCAGATACAGGTCAGATATATACATGTATTTCAGTGTAGTGTCTTAGTAAAGAAAGTAGCGGTGTTCCATATATCTTTCTAATGACCAGCGTATAGACCTCGCGGGGCAGCCATCTTGCTTTTCCACCATCCAAAGCAACATAAACCAAACTGAGGCTGGAAGGACAAATAATCTGTTTCCTTTTTGTCAATATGTTAAAGTGAATTATTATTGGTAATAAGTCTATAGAGAACAAGACAAACATGGTAGCATCTTGATAACAGTCTATTAGCTACATTCGAGCATATTACTGGGGTTTTCATTTAGCATACTCCTGAACACTCTAATAGCAGGAGAATCGCTCATGGCCGTTAATATGAGAGTATATACTCAATCAGAATGGGAGTAACACTTGTACACTTGGAATTATTTTTAGACCTAACTGGATCATTTACAAAAATTTTTCACTTTGAATTTAATGATTCTATCACCTCTGAAGTAAAGTTCTGATGATGCACTGCTTTGACCCTGTGATTGGAACTGATGTTTTCCAGACAGAGCTCCCTTTTAATTTGTGTTTTTTTGGGGGCGTTTTTGTTCTTGAGCAGAGCCCTGTGGTCCAGCCAAGTATACTTCAGTACCCCAAAGCAACAGCTGGCTATTCCAAGCAATGGACATGTGTGCAGTACTCAACGAGGACTCCTCGCAGGACTCACCGGATAACTCCACGCCGGCAAACTCCACCACCGATCTGTCCACAGACAGCGGTATCACTATCAACTTCCCCAAGGTACAGCGGGGTCTCATTTGGATGTTTTCCCAGGATTATCCAATGGGAACTTTGTTCATTGTGTGACTATAAAAAGCCAGGTAGTTTAGACCATCTCACAGCTGGAGAAGGGGAAGGGAGTGGCAGAATCTAACTTCCCCTCAAGATGGCTGTCTTAGAGTCTGATGTTTTTGAAACTAAACATGCATGTAAAGGCATGCATTCAGACACTCAGAACAGTAGGTCTGACTTTCATAAAAATTGGTTTTGAAATGATCCTAAGATGCAATTGGAAAAACTCGTTAAGGCTTGACACGCAAACAAATGCATTGTGATGAAATCAGAGAAAGTGTTGAGCTCCTCCGTACTCCCCCCCCGGCTCTTTTTTAAAGCTTAAGAACAGGAGTGAATCACTATACAGGATGCCACACAAGATGTTACCACCGAGAGGCCAGTTTTTCAGCGTAATATGGGAACAATTGACATCCATGCAGCTTTTTTGGGGGGGGAGGGGGGAAGAATTCCATGCGCATTGGTATTTTTTTGATGGTACAACACATAGACAATTTAGCAGGTGATCGGTTATGGATAACATATATGCAAGCTATCCATAATGTTGAAAAGTACAACCCCTGAGGTGTTGTAAATTGCCCCTGTTAGCAATTGTCCAGTTGCAGACTGCCCAGTGCAGCGAGGACTTGCCCCTGTTAGCAAACGTCCAGTTGCAGACTGCCCAGTGCAGCGAGGACTTGCCCCTGTTAGCAATTGTCCAGTTGCAGACTGCCCAGTGAAGCGAGGACTTGCCCCTGTTAGCAATTGTCCAGTTGCAGACTGCCCAGTGCAGCGAGGACTTGCCCCTGTTAGCAATTGTCCAGTTGCAGACTGCCCAGTGCAGCGAGGACTTGCCCCTGTTAGCAATTGTCCAGTTGCAGACTGCCCAGTGCAGCGAGGACTTGCCCCTGTTAGCAATCGTCCAGTTGCACACTGCCCAGTGAAGCGAGGTCTCATAGACTTGCTTGCCTTGCTTTTGGCAAGGCTGTGTTTAATCTGATCATGTTCATCCACCTCTAGGGACCGGATACATCAAGCACCGCCACAACCAGCCCTAGAGAGCAGGCAAGAGGAGGCACAGAGGTGCCCTCTGACTCGGTCGAAGACCAGAAGAATGACCGTAATACCATGGCCAGGGCCTACCTGCATTGCATCAGGGCTCAGCAGGCAGCAGAGAGGGATGCTATGTACCCAGGAGGTGGCATGGTGGACTCCCGCTCACCCGATGTAAGTAGTTTGGACAATTGACTCAGGGCTGCGGAAACTAAGAAGTTCCAAGTGCTTCTATCATTGTACACATCATACATGAAGAAAGTGTCTGGTTTGTGCCAAATAAGCAGCAGGTATTGAGCCAAACATATATTATTACCAACTAATTGTTGGCGTTTGGCACAATCCATTGATCGCACGGTCGCACTGCTTTACTAATCTATAATGTTGAAATTCTCTGACTTTTCCTTTTAAAACAACACTCTACAACTGTGAAATTGAAAGAAAAGATGATTCACTGAGGGCAGAAGTATCGATAAGTCATATCACAAGATCAGTCAGTTGCACAGACTGACCAATCTTACCAAACATTGATATATTGCCCTTATTGGATTTTGTTGGATTTGTGTAGCTTCCCGCAAGAAATGCCCACTAAAGTAGGGTCAAAACCTTTGAATATATTTTAAACTTAATTATTTAATAAGGTTACTTAGCCAAGGGGAAGATCAACTGACATGTAAAGTGACTGAATACAGGCCCAACTGGTTTTTGTACACTTACCAGGTCAAGCCCAGGTTGGATGGGATAGGAGGGGTGGGCGTAGGACCTGTTACGGTAGGAGGAGAGGAAGACTACCTTTATCAAGCAGCTGGTCACATCAGTCTGGCACTGGAGAATGAGGCTAACGGGAGCTACCAGGCGGCCTTTGACCTTTACAAGTCGGGGGTCGGTGTGCTACTCAAAGGCGTGATTGGTGAGGCTCCATCAAGTTTTTTTTTTAATATTGCTGTTGGGGATTCAGTGTAATTTTCATAATGTGATCCTCTCAGTGACAATGAGATCACAAGTTGCCAGAGGCCAATTTTGAGTTACAGGCCCTTAAAAGAATCCTACACCATGGAAGTCAATGGGAACCATGAACATTTTTCACCCACCAATAGCCATTTTCATTAGTTGCCAACATGATTGTTAAAATGAGCATTCAAACAAAGAGTTAAGTTTGTTTTTTCTTATGCAAAACCAAACATTTTCATAGAGTGGGTCACAAATGGCCTTTGCATTTTATTTATCCGTATGTCAGTCATCTGTTCTCTCCATTCATTTCTTCGGTGTAATTGTATTTTCACAATTTGTTTATAATTACTGTGGTTGAAAAGGAAGTATGGTTTCATTGTAACTTGTTCTAGCCTTTCCTGACATCATCAGTCCACATCTAAATTTTTCTTAGAAGTTGTTGGTAATCCTTATTGTTTGAAGTGTAAGCCAATTGAGTTAGAGTTTATGCAGTTATGGTTTGGTGTGGAAATAGTTTTCTGACTGATTTTAATGTCAGCGGACGACAATAAAAACCGACGTGAGGCAGTTCGCAGAAAGACGGCCCAGTATCTCATGAAAGCTGAGGATTTATACAACAAGTATCTGTCAGCGGATGCCACCAACAGCAAGAGATGGGAGGTCAGTGACGCTGGAACGTTCTTTATGCTGCGTGTTAGTCACCGTGATGTGTGCATCCATGAAGGAATGCTTTTCAAATGTTTTTTTAGTTTAATCAAACTTTAGGACAAACTGGAAAGTACCCATTAAGAATCTCATGAGTAATTTACAAAAAAATTGTTGACCCTGGGACTCAGTTCATACAAAATACTGATTGTCTAGTCGTGTATTTCCACACACAAAAATGGTGTTGTTGCTTGAAACTTATTGAGTGCTTGATGCGGGATATTGCATTGGGACAACCTTGCATTTTATTGACAATAAATGAATGCACAGCAAACAAAGGGTGTTACGTGGAATACAGGTTGCCATCGATAGGTCATGGCGGTTGACAAATTCTATTCACTGACTTGACACAGAGAACTTCAATTGTTCCTGATGTTTGTTTGTCCAGGTAGAAGGTTTTTAAGTATATTTCAATTATGAATTTTAATTTGTCGTTGCTTTCCATTGCACAGAATGCCCTTATCTATCCAAAATTTTCTCATTTGCTGACATACACTCAAATGCAAATTGGGGCACGATGGCCTCTTACGTTGGAACCTCTTTTTAGTAGCTAGACTCAAATTTCTGTCTTGAGCTCCTCTAAATGACTTCTTTATAGTTTTTGGTTTTGGCCTTCCATTAAACATGTTAAAAGTCTACTGTCTGTCTACCCGTTTCAGTCAGAGCAACCCAGCATCGATGTTGACCCTCGATCGGCCCACCTCAGAGGCTCCCAGGAGGAGCTCAAGAACTATAAGGTCCTTGGCCTGATTGACAGCGTGCTGCTAGTTCTTGACACGGTCACCTATCAGACTTTTGTCATCAAGGTGTGTTGAATTGCTGGGGTATTCCACATCATTCCTTTCACTCATTTCAAAAAAGTGCATAGACATAATTTAAGTTTCCTCCTGCTGTTGGCATCAGGTCTTAGTGTTAACTTATTTGGCATGTCATTTTGACAGTTAATTGATGTAAATGGGAGTGAAGGCACATATTCAATCAATTAAAATCACTGCCACGTTCTTTATTATCAGTATGTTGTGCAGCCGTATGAGGTCTGTAGCATTTTCCTGTTGTTAAGGAGGTTGGCTGTAGTAGATTTTTCTGATTACAGACCTCTAAAATGCACCTTTCTGCCAATTTTAACCCTTTTTCAACTTCTGTTTTATTTTTTCAAAGGGTTTTTAAATGCCTTTTTTATTTTATGCTAATGAGGATTTCCATATTCATGAGCAAAACTGTGATATCATATTAAGAAGAAGCCTCAATGTTATGTTGGTTTGTACACAAACAGTCCTGCACTTTTGTAGATTTTCCTGGATTCTCTTCTTTGCTGATTCACTGCTGTTTGTGTGCAAAACAATAAGAAAACATTGATCTCTCTGTCAGAAATGTTTCCAGTAGGTAAATTCTGGGTTCACAATTTGAACAGAAACACCTATGGACTGAACTGTGTCTTCCCTAGATGATTGCAACAGCGCCCTCAGTTGCGTGGATAATTTTAATTGTTTAAACACATGCACTTTTCAGTGCAATGAACCAAATAGGAGTGTGTAAGAGTTTTCATACAACGAAGAAGAGTAAAAAGATGCAGAAAAATTGTGCAAAATAAAACGTCATTACAGCTACACTTTAATATAGGGCTCTTTTTGGCACATGAATAGACATTGGCATTGTACATATTGAACTAGTCATTGGCAGTGCAAGGGTAAAAAACTTTACACTGGTTATTCAAGTTACTGGTTAGTCAAAACTGGTTATTCAAGAAATACATTCTTTTTGGCTTGCACTCACCAATCATATAGCTTTCTGTTTCCATTGAGATAAGAATATCGCCTTTATTATCATGTTGTCTTTGCCCAAGCAAATTTTGTGAAGTGGTTGATTTTTGCAGTTTACTTTTATTATTAAGACACTGATGGTTACGCTTTACTGTGATTAATGTGTTCAAAGTGCTACATGTGATAATGCTAAGTTGTGGTTTTTCCAGGTGCTGGTGAAATCATCCACCCCCACCAAGCGAGCCTCCTATGCGCCGGCCAACTGCAGGTACGTTGTCAAGCCCTACAGGTTCATCGAGACGGACGATGCCATCTTCGTTGTGCTGGAACATGCCAGCGGCGGGAAGCTGTGGAGCTACGCGAGCGCCTTCCTGAACCGGGGGACTGAATCATCCCTCAATCAGGCCGTGGCAGGCAGCCTGGAGAGGAAAAGCATTGGGAGTTGTGGGTCGCGGCGGTCGCGACACAGCACGGCCAGCGGCAGGGAGGACCAGAAATTCCAGGAGGAGATTGATGAGGAGAGCGTGTTCGCGGAGCTGGGAGACCCTGGAGGTGTGACCTTAGCTCCTCCCCCTGCGCACCGATTTGGCAATTTCGTCAGTAGTGCTCATGACAGTCCTGGAGATAGTGATTTCACCTCGGGTGTTTCCCCTGGTGGAGAAAACAGCTACGCCAATCTCATTATTGACTATGGGGAGAATTCTCATGAGCCTACTGCGGGCGATGGGGCTGGCTTCAGTAAACAAGATGTGATGGAACCAGCGCCTCTAGTTGTGACAGACTCCATTTCACGTGAGTTGGACGACCTTGACATTCAGGACACGGAGGCAAACTTGAACGACCTCGCTAACCAGTGCTCACAGTACGACGGCTTCGCAGGATGCAATGGTGTCAGCTTAGGCATGCTAAGTGGGACTGATCTAGAAAAGGGCAAAAGCAAAGACAGATTGAATGAAGCTGCCACTGCCCCCATGAATCTGTTTAGCATTGACAGCATAGAGAGCTCAGGCAGTGAATTGCACAGTGCCAGCAGTGCTGACAAGACGGTGTTTGGTTTTGGCACTCCACCTGCAAGTCCCAAAGTGGAATCCAGCGATGGCGACGGTTTAAGAACTGACAGAATTCCCGAAAAGAAAACAAGTCTGACAATGTGGGTGGAGCATAATCCCGAGGATGTGATTGCAGATGCTCTGAAGGTCATGGAAGATTTGGAAAAAGATAACCTGGAAGATTTCAGATTGGACACAGAATCTTTAAGTTACAACATCAGGTCCTCGGAATTTGACGAATTTAACGCACGACCACCAAACACGGGCCAGTTGGACACCTTGCCCGACACCAGTGGATTTGCCTCCGCCATGACTGATGATGTGACATCATCCAAACCAGGCACTGACCTGGCCGAGTTTTTTGACACTGGTTCAGTGGAAGATGCAAGGACGTGTTCAGAGACCAAAAGACCCCCTCTTGTGAGGCACAGTGTTAGTATGTACGAGAGCGGGACGCATAGTGACAGCCCACTGAGACAAAGACAGCATTCAAACCCGCTTGACCTCAGAGTCACAAGAAGGGCATCCCTTGAAGGAGGAAGATCGGACGACTCGCTTTCCTCCTTGCTGCGGGTCAAGGTTGAAGAACCCAGTGGCTTTGAATCTCTCTCCCTGTGGGAAGCCAAAGGCAGAGCAGTTACTGAGAGCAAGACCGAGTCCCATCTCGGTGAGATTCTCTGCAAGCCTACCCCAGACATGCTGACTGGAGATAGGAAACAGGTGTCTTCAACAGCCGTGCAGTCTGAAGTCCACCCCAACCAACCTGGCCAAGTCCCACCACGGGATGTTAGCCTTGTCACACCCAATAATCCATACACAGCAAGCCAGGTGCACAGCAATCCAGCAGCCCAAATTCCTGCCATTCAACCTCCTGTCCACCCAATGAAAAATTTATCACCAATGTCCAATCTGGAGGGCTCTGAAGTCACCATATACAGCTCATGTGAATCCACTCCCAAGCATGCTATCTACTCCCCAGACTATGACAGTGGTACTGTGATGGACTCCCCTAACATGGAAAGCCCAAATCCGAGCTCAACCAATGGGCAGGGCCTAGTCGGTGGCACTCATGAATATTCAAACACAAATGGCATGAAAGATTCACTGGGTGATAACGACACCACTCCAACTCACCACACTGCTGCCCTTCACCCAGGCAATGCAGCAATGACTAGCAACCCCAAACCAAAACCTCGCGATGCCCCCCTGCCCTCTCTTACCACTCTGTTTGCTCAAATGGACGAACAAGTAACGGTCACGAAATCCAGTACCTTGCCAGAGTCCTGCGTTCGCCTCTGGGCTGCCGAGATCCTGCTAGCCTTGACAGACCTGCATGCCACTGGTATCATCTGCCAGGATCTTCACCCCGACAACATCCTGCTTGCGGAAGGCGGCCACATCCGACTCACCTATTTTAGCCAGTGGCAGTATGTGGAAAGTTCACTCAGTGCTCATGCCAAGGAACACTTTTACACTGCCCCTGAAGTGAACGGTATCTTCAGTGTCACCCCAGCTTGTGATTGGTGGAGCTTTGGGGTCCTGCTGTTTGAACTTCTCACGGGCACGGTGAGTTTAATTTTTGTTGCTAAAGCCCGTCCTGCATTTGTACTTGATGTGATCACAGTGTTGTTGTTGTAACACATGTATCACGGAATGAATATTGACTAAGGAATACCTGTTACCTTGACTGGAGACTTGATCACTTGTGATGGACCCAACTGGAACACCAGACCATAGTAATAAATTTGGTTTATTAATGAAAGTCTTCTTATTACTACCAAGCTCACAAACAACCAAGTGAAATGCATTGTGGGTACTTACGTGTAATGCAAAATAACCCTGGCTGTGCTACAGCCTTTACAATATGTCAACATTTGCATATAAATCAATGGCATGTTCTACGTGTATCTCTCAGGATATGACTTTCTGTGGAGCTAGAGACTTGTACCCACCCAATACATAGCATGGGATCTGCTACATGTACCCTAATTTTCAGAATATAAGCTGCCCGGTGTATAAGCCGCAGCACGCAAAAATCGGCGAATTAAGATTTATTGATTTGGTGAATAAGCTACATCAGTCTATAAGTGACACCACAGTGCTGACGATCAAACCATGACAGTCATCGTGCTTCATGCTGAAGCACCAATACAGCATATACAGTACGTTAATGGTTGCACTACACGTGCAATCCTAATGAAAGTATAAAGCAAAATGCGAAAGAGTGTCACCATAAAAAGTGCATTTCCTCAAATTTAATACTTTTTGCAAGCTGGATGGTGGTCCTGCATGGGCTATGCATCAACTCTTGCCCTTTTTCCAGCGGCCAGCAAAAGTTAAGCGGTCGGGGACGTAAAATAAAATCTTAGTAACTTGAAGTCAGTCAGTTACACTAACAGTGGACAAACTGTAGGATTTAGAAACCTGAGCAACTTCGATCAGTGCCCAAGAAGTAACATTAAGTCAATTTTAAATTTTAATTTTATAACCTTCCCCCTCAGTCCTTGCACAGCTGTCATCCCAGTGGGCTCAGCTCACACACTCAGCTCAACTTGCCAGATCACATATCACCAGAGGCAGCTAGTCTGCTCAAACAGGTACCCAATAATTATGCATTCTAGCAGCTTATATGGAGTCACACATTCACCTGTTTCTGAGTGACACACGCCCATGTGTCAAAAGTTAAGCGAATGGAGATTGTTGCTGTCTAGCTATTCTAGCAACTGCACTTTGTCCATATCAGGAAAAAGTATGCAAGATTTGAAAGTTCTGTTAATTTACATGTACAGTGGAACCTTGTTTGGATACGAAATTCTGCTTGTAACAAGGAAATAGTCCCAATAACTTGTTTTTCATTATTTTCATTCCTGATAGTACAAGGTTCCTGTTACAACAAGGTAATCTGTGAAAATAGTCACATTCTAAGAGAAATACTTTGAATTCTAAGTTGGGGGAATTAGAATTAAAAACAAATGGGGGGGGGGAGAGGAGGGGATAAGCTTGGCCGTATTGTGAAAAATTAAAAACGAAAAGGAAAGGATGTGTGCTATGAAATACAGTGTGTTCCTAAAAAAAAAGGAACCAAAGTTCAAAGATCAGCTTTTCCAAGTTTGGGTTTGTAAGGTACGAAACCAAGTTTTCTGTAAGTATTACATTCACTTGCAAAATGTTAACAGAGGGGATAGCATTTCATTAAAACTTGGTGTGAAAAACAAACAAATGATGAAACCAAAAACTGACAGAAAAGTTGGTTTCGTACCTTACAAATCAAAAACTTGGAAAAAGTAGGTTTTGTACCCTTCACCTTGGAAGGACCCTAACTGTGATTCGTGACAATGTTGATGTAAGCAATGTGTCAAATTGACGCTGATGAGTTACTTGGTATTGTAGTAAACATTTCATAAGAATAAACCATGTATTCTTGACATAGCTGACCTTTGAACTTCGGTTACCTTTTTTTAGGAACGCACTGTATATGTATAAGTTTTACTTCTATGACAGGCATGGATAATATTGAACCGTGTGACTATCATGTGACTTACCAGTCTTCTGGAAGGACCTGATCAGGCTTTCAATCCGAAAACAGCACTTTTCAGCCAGGGAAAGAAAGTGACAGAATGTTAAAAAAAACTAAAAAAAAACCAAACTTGAAATAAAACAAAGGTCGTGGAATCAAAACTAGCCTCACCCAATTAACCGTTCCTTTCTTGTAGTTGTTACAAGTCAACCCCTTGGAGAGGCTTGGTAGCCATCGTGCTGGTGGCGCTGAGGAGATCCGCCTCCACCCTTTCTTTAAGGACATCAACTGGACCAGCTTACAGAAAACAGCTCACTCCTGAACGCACCCAGCAACCCTGCCCTTAACAAGTGTTTCTGGCTTTAATATAAGATTCATGCCAACGTCTGGCCGTGTGTTGAATGCCAGTCCAAGTACTGCCTAGCTGCATATATAGCTAGCATCAGTCAACTATTGTGATTCACCGTTGTTTGAATCCAATTGTTTAATACATCCCATGTTAGCTCCATTCGGTTGCTTCTTTCAAACTGCCCAGAATCCTTCATACTGTATCTGAAAGTAACGTGACTGGTGCTGTTATTTTTTGGAATAATAGAATTTGTTTTCATGTCATATAATTTGATCAACTATCGTTATTTTGACTACATGGGGATCAAGACCCTAGCATGTGCAAAGTGGGCAAGTCTTAGTGTGATTTGGATTGGGATGGTCTATCCATTCATGCTATTACTGTACCAAATGATGACAGGATTGTGTAACCTTGGGGCTTATATTTGATTGTTATCCAAGGCTGAAATCATTGATATTTTTTTGGTGTTATATTTGGTGACTATGCTTAATCTACTTAATACATTTTTAACAGTGCAATTTTGATATCTGAAAAGCTTACTTTACTTAGGACAGAATGGATGGGGTGAGATTACTACAGTTTATGTTGAATAATATAAGAAATAGGTATTAAAAAATGTAGAATTAAGTAATATGGTGTAAGTCTTATGAGTTTGGTTCACACTACATCTAGATCCTCGAGGAGAGAATGGTAAATAGATGGTGTTGTGAAGATGGTTCATTTCATACTCCAGACCAGACTGCCCCTGGCTTTGGTATCTGCATGATGCCTTACATACTTGGACATTACAGTGCTTTCAGAGGTCAAAGGGCATCAGCCTGTTGGCTTTGTGCTTGCGCAAAAGAGTGTGTAATGTGGCGATGACGTTTTATAGAGCCAATGTGACACTGCATGCATTTGTGCACAAATGTGCGACACCGTGTGCACTAAGTTAATACATTCAGCTAGTTTTCATCTGAAAGTGCTTGAACCCATCTGGTTGCATGACCTCTGGGCAATACAGCAACTGAGGCATAAAAAACTATGTTGGCCCTGCCTTGTTTCTATATGAAATCTGTACTGTTCCCACCTTGGAAGCCACTGCCTTTATGCCAAGCTCTGATTTACTCATCTTATAATTTCCTTAGAACTTATGATGTGTGGAGTCATACTACTGTGTGTAGTTATTACTAATGCCAGTCCTATGCACAGTTTTGCACATGAATTATTGATCAACCTAAAACCAAATACGTTTTTTGCTTTCGTATCTTTTGCAGTTTTTTGTCATTTAGGGAAAACATTTAATTTTGTTTGGGAAGATTTGTTGGATTACATTTTTCAAGGACAGATGTGAGGAATATCTAAATGTGCCCATTATTTTTGAAAATGAAAGGGATTTTTTTATAGTTACTCTTCAGCTGGCTGTAAGGAAGTTATAGAAGGACAGAGACAGTGAACTCTACTCTTTGAGAAGAAATTCTGCAAAATACTTATTGCGATCAAATGGAAATTACCTGCTTTTTCAAAATAACACCTTAATGAAGTTTAATTGTTTATGAATCATTTTGTTATAGCTGTATTGTGCTGAAACTTGTAGGCTCAAACATATTTGCGGTTTCCCCCAAAAAACTGCTTCCGTGATATGTGTCAGGTTTGAATTTAGCACTCTAATTTTGTATCTGAAACTATATTTGAAGAATGGGTTTTATTTTCCCTGCCTGTTTTAAGACTTGGGTCACAGACCAAAAGAGTTTGGTTAGTTGTTGAAAAGATGGAATGTCATTTCAGCATTTTAGTTGTTGTATGTTGTGGTTAAGGATGAAGCAAGGGTGATTTCTGCTGTGTCTCCGCGGCTTTGCAGGCACAATATAGTAGAACTATTTTCTTCCTACAATAATGTGGAATATACCAATTTCACGTCACAAATCTGTACTGTACAAGCAAGTGAACATTACATGTACATGTATTTACATGTCTCTGTACTAACTAATTAAGGACCTATCTTAATGACTGAACCAAAGGTACCATTTCACTACAAAACGAGCTACGATCCTCATAGTTTCTGACTTATCAAAGCTGTGATTTGTCTAACATGCATAGTCACTGTGGATGGGGCCGACTTTATCAATCTTATAAATATCACACTGAATATCAGATTTCTGGTTAATAACAATAGCAGAACCAAATTTAGGGTGGTATGTGGTGATGGGGGGATTGTGCATTGGACTAATCAGAGAATTCCAACTCAAAAGTAAGGAAGTGAAAACTTGAAAGTCATCTCGCCATTTACCATTTTCTGTTTACTTGGTCATCTGATGTTCATCCTTTAGCCTGCAAAGGTTTCCCCCAAAACTGTATGAACACCTTCAGCAGAAGTAAATATTTTGACTTTTCTTTTTATTTCAAATAATGCAAACCCTACATTTATTTTCAGGTATATTAATCTTGTGTATTTACAAGTAATAAAGGCATACTGCTCAAATTTAAAATTGTGTGCTGACAGTTTTCCTAGATTTTGCTAACTTGATTTCCAAATTATACATCATGTTGAACTTTTTGGTTTTTTTTTGTTACCAGAAACATGTTTCTGCTTTGGGAAACGGTCAGGCAATTTCCCCACTTTGATTAAGCCTGTGTGGCCATCATTGTTCCTACTAAATGAAAACAGGTTATAGTTGGTTATATACTGGTTCAAAATGGCAGAAAGTAAGCAACTTTTGGGGGGTTATCTCCAAAATAAGTGAAGAATACATATGTATTCCCCAATTTGTTGTAGCGATTCAAAAGGTGTACTTTCTACTGAAGTGTGCGAAGGGAGAGCAGCAGATACAAGACACTTGGCAAACTATGGAGTAAAAATGACATTTACAAACAGTGTCTTCTTCTTCTGGCTGGTACTTTGTTCCCCTTGGATGATGTCCCCTTCTCTGGTTCTGTATTTGGGTGGGCCACATTCAGCATGTTTCCTTGTAAATGCTTTGACGTCTCAAATGTGTTCTGGTTACGGATTGGGAAAACACACCCCTCGGTCTGAAGAGAACCTTGTAATAGTGTTTCTGTGACTTCAATACATGAAGCACAACTTTATTTACATGTTACAATGACTTTCCACCTTCCTCAACGCAGTCAAAGAGCAAAATTTCACCATTTTGATTTCATGCTAAGGAAGATTTCCATATTTGTAAGCCACATGTATCATACTCTCTACATTTCCTTTAAGTAGATTCAACCGTATACTTGGTATTCGTGTTAAACAGCTTCTCTGGACAATTGTAGTGGTCAGGTTTTCTAAAATGTGGAAGACTTCTAGAAGGCTTATAAAGTAGCGGAGTACGGACTGTCCTGTCTATGTAACTCAGCCCTGAACAGAAAAAATGGAAAACACTGCAAGAGACATTAGTGCTAAAACATTGATGTTATTCTTTGATTAAATTTACACTTTCCTGGGGGGCTTGATGGATTTTGTCTTGCCTCACTGCCCATGTAAACAAATATGACCATGTCATAGGTCTATTGAGCTACGATGTACATCCTTACACAAGTGCGTTCTTGAGGCACAAAGACACAGACTCGTGCACATTCAGCTGAAAATTGGTCATGAATACTCCATACTGAGTGTACAAAACAATGTACTCATGTGATGTGTCCTTTCCAGGCTCCTGTAAGACAACCTTACAGAACAATGCACAATTGCTGGATAGAGTCCACTGTCAAGAACTACTGAAGAATTGGAGAAACCAATCCTCATGCTCAAGGCATAGCAACTTGTAAAGAATGAGTTTGTTTTTTACATGCAATCAAAACACAAAATCAGCCACAGCTTTCATTCTTCTCCTTAACGGCCACAGCAGACCAATATATTATGCATAACATTAGGCTGTTCAGACAAAGGATAATTTCCAATCATGAACTGTTGGTCTAAAATTATACGACCATTTCTTAAAACGTTTATAAAATATACATTATATACAGGGATGGACGGATAACTTGTATAGGTTCACAGCAGGAATGGTATCGGTCATGAGGAGCTCAACACATACTTGGTGTCACGCTTGACTGTCTCGGTGAAAAGACTGGCCAATTGTTTTCCCAAACTTGCAATTTGGAGTTTTGAAATGTTGAAGTTTTACAAAAATGAGACTGTCCCATCTAAAAACCACTTGTCTTGACAATCTTTGTGCATTATATGAGCCAACACTACTGAATCAAAAACTTTCAGAAAATGAATCCGTACGTGTAAGCTTATGTACATGCCCGTTCGGTACATGATTTACGGGAGTTTTTACGAAGCCCCAGCAGCTGTGGGCTCTTGTCGGGTGTCTAAGCCCGCTACAGTCAGGGAGAGCTGGGCTAGGTCTGGCAGCACAGGGGTACTACCTCTCTTGTCTGGGGCCTCTTGAAGCTTGGTTGCTTCGTTGTCAACTTGCTGGGTCAGGAAGGTACCTGGCTCGGAGGGGGGAGCACCTTCGATGGCAAGGCTGGAAGAGGTATCAAAAAAATTTTTTAAGAATTTCATGTCTTTACATACCATGTTGGACACATGGAAGCTTATTCTGGGAGGCATGCTTGTCGTCATGGTGTGAATATTGACAAAAAATGGGCGATCTAGAATTTGCAGTTTTGTAACTCGCAATGCGTGTGCAATTGCATTAATACATTGTCTACACTAAATTATTAGTTTGTTGAATTTCATAATGCCCTGATAGAAAAACACCATTGCGAGAAACAGTCATTGAGTCCATTTAATTTCAATCTTATAAAGCATTTCAACTGCATGAGTGATATCAGAGGCTACCACATGGGCTTATGTGAAGGAGTAACAGGAGAAAACTAATCATGTGAATGGATAGCAGATTTTGTGACGTCTGGTTTCCCACCCCAGTTGGGCGCTTACAACAGCATAATAGTCTCTTCAAGGGACAGCAGGCCATTGTTGGTTGGTTTGACATCCAGCTTTCTTGGAGCACTCACCTGATGGAGTCCCTGCCACTGATGCTGACAGGAGGGCGGTGGGAAGCAGGGGGGCCTAGGTTGGATGGAGGCTTGGCGCGCACCCTGGAACCGTTCATTTTAGCAAACAGCATTCTCAAGACGCGCTCCCTCTGCTCCCAGGTCAGATCACTCACGTCCACCTTGCCGCTCAGACCAGACCTGCAAAGAAAACACAGTGGCAATAAATCTTTCCAACAGGAGGTGGTGTCTCTGAACCATGCTGACCAAGTCATTCAGGAGGACGTGTAAACACAATCTGGCAATCTATGCTCCCAGTAGCGACTTAAAAGGTCTACATTGTTGAGCATTTCCCCAGTCTGCGGTGGTGGGCATGCATTTACACATAATCCCTATGTGTTTTGAATACCAGCAATGTTCTGGAAGTCCATGAAAGCAACTGTTTGTTGAACTTTACCGCAGCATAAAGTTTTGGCAGGGTCTTGGACCGATACAAAACTCCACTGCTGTGAGAAATATCATCATTTATTTATTTTATTCATTTATAAAGCACAAATTTCATATAGATATGTTCAAATGCACTGTACAATGAAGACATTAAGCGTGGAACAATGAAAACATTGAAATATGGTTGAGCCGATGGCATACAAGGGCACCTCAGGCAGCCGCCAAACGACCCACATTCACCAACATCAGTAAAGAGGAGGCATTAACAAGCAGTTACAGTTTTTGAGGTGGGAGGAAAACCCCAGAAGATTGTTCTGGGTAAAACCCACGGAGTCAGGTAGGGACTGAAAACACAATCCACATGTGCACCGGGCCAGGAATCGAACCCGGGACCACAGAGGTGGAAGGCGAGGAAAGAACTACCTTGCCAACCGGACTCCCCATACAAGATTTTTGACTTCTAGATAAGGGGAAAATGCAAAATTAAACAAAGTGCTACTCAGAGTTGTGATCCTAGAGCAAGATTTATGGGCCCGATGAGCAAGCGTAATTATGCAGTACTTGGGGTCTTGCACTTACCAAGCCTCAGCAGCCTTGAGGTCTGAATACACGCTGTTGGTGCTCACATCAGATGCTTTAAAGGTTCTCACTTTGGGGTACTCTCCCTTGTTGGCGTGGGCATCCAGCATCTTCTGATGATACACGGCCGCCGCATCTTGCAGGTACTTGGCCCGGTTGGCCACAATCTCCTTCTTAACAACCTCCAGAGAGTCTAGGAAAAACTGCTCCATCTCAGTACGCTGTGTTGGAAGAATGTCATTGTTTGATTATTTTACATTCAATAGGAATGTTGTGTATGTACAAGGTTATTACACAAGTATGTGGGTGAACCAAAATTCTCTGTTTTCCTAAAGACTTCTTAACCCCTTCGCTACGGAGGACTGCTACTACCGCACCGTTGTGTGAGGATTAGTGCATACCACACATACAGTCTATTCACCATGCAGCTACTGGTTCAATGGGGCCTGCTGCTGGACAAAGCCTTCTATTCAGGACATGCCACAGCCCAGCAGTCACGGTCAAAATAATCCCGCCGTGAAGGGGTTAAGAAAGGAAAATGCCTTCTGTAAAGCTATTGCTATTTCCACCAAAAAGATCTTTCTCTTTCTTAGCAACAGTACTTCTGTCCACCAGCTGCAAGTGAGATACGGCTGGCTATCAGTATAACAATACAAGAATAATCCCCAGTGTTAACGCGTTACAGGTACCTATGAAAATACCAAATAACCATTACCAAACAGAGATAAAAATCTTTTTAAAAGTACCAGGGCAAATAAAACCTGACACCAACCAAGGGTGATATTTCTTTAACTTTGGCCACCCACATGAAGAGTGTAGACAATATGCGAGGTCCATACCCTCAGCTTGGTGTAAATGCTAGTGGGGAGTTGGTTACCTGATCAAGGATAGCCTTGGCTAATCTCTTGACTTTCTTCATCTCTTTGCTCTGCAGCTCAATGGTCCTCATCAGCTTGGCGATCTCCACTTTGCCGGCCTCCGTCTCAATGTGGGCCTTCCTGACCACAATCTGCCTCTCCTGCTCAAACTCCCGCACTACGTGGCTCAGGGACACCTCCAGGCTCTGGATCTTGGCCTCGGTCTAAAGCAATGTGCCACAAACACACAAACTATGAGAAAACTGGTAAGTACTGTCACAAGTGTTACCAGTGCTGTGGTCAGTGTTGTAGTCGAAACCATCACAAGACCAGACACAAGACCATGCACAAGACCAGGCACAAGACCAGTCACAAGTAACAGGGTGAACAGTGACAAAGGAATGCTTTTGTTGCAGTTCATTTGAATAGCTTGTGACTTGAATTCAGACTGAATTCAATAGGTCTGATTGTAGTATTGAACAATCAAATGCTCTTATTCCTCTACAAATACTGAACAGAGGCACCAAGGTGGAAAAGGTCTCAAGCAAGAGCTGGGGGGATTAGAAAGTCACTCTTCAGAGCTTAATTATACAACCGTCAATGCAATTTAACAATTCACAAAGCAGCAGACCCTCTATTGATGTTTAGCTCTCTCTGCCCAGAACATAATGTCAGCAAACTGAGCTAAAGGGAGCACCCTCCGGTCAGACAATGCACTGAGCTGATAAAACTCTTACCGTACCTGTTTGAGTTGCTCCTTGAGCTTGGCGTTCTCCCTGACCTTCTCTTGTATCATCATCTCATTCAGCTCCTTGTCTCCCTTCAGCGTCTTGTTCTCCTTCAAGAGGGCATCTCTCTCCACCTTCAGCTCATCCGACTCCTTCATGTGGTAATTCAGTGCTTCGGTCACTCGGACGTTCTCCTTGTATACGGACCGAGTGGTCTCATCCAGCTCGCTGAAGGCAAAAGTGAAATTGTCATCAGCCTAAGAAATTCTGGAGCCACCATGTACCAGGAACTGCCTTTCAAAAATTTGGTAAATGAGTATCAACATCATCCAAAAACTGAGAAGCTGAAGATGTTTGTACTCTACATATTCAACCTTCTGCATACTTAAAGCCTAAACCCCCTTCATTTTTAGGGATATAGTCAGACTGTTTCATTTTCCCACATGTACTGAGGTAATGTGTGGTCACATGTGGGAGTTGATCAGTAATGACAAAGGAACATCTTTGGCAGAGTCTTTTTGAAAAAAAAAATTTTTGGTGTGGATCAGTGTTGTAGTCAAATAGACACAAGACCAGGTCAAACAATTCACAAAAACAGACACTAGACTAGTCAAAAGTGACAGAATGAGGAATGCTTTGTTGCCGCTCAAGTTGTGACTTAAATTCAGACTGGAAGTCTGGTGATGGATTCGTAAAGTCTTGTGATGGATCTCAGAGGTCTTGACTACATTTACAAGTGTGGGACTTATACCCATCAGTATTAAACTAGTCTGCCTGACCTGATAGCCTCAGTGTGTGCCCTCTCGGCCAACTCGGCTATCTTCTGGCTGGCCTCTTGCTGCAGTCGGATCTTCTCCTCAAAGAACTTGTGCTCCATGCGCTGTAGCTGCTCTGTGTGCTCCTTATTGGTCAGGAACATCTCTTCCTTGATCTGAACAAATCAAGAAATTGCACAGCATCACCTCGTTGACACTGATCTCATGGTCCCCAAAAATAATCAAGTATTGCTGAGAATATCTTGAGTAAGACAGTCCAGTCAACACAGGCACGGCGTACAAATTTATTGATTTCATTTGGTTCTGAAAAATAAAAAATTAATGGGAACTTCCACTGAAATTAGTCCACTTGATAACTTTACCACGACCATCGCTAATGTGGGTGCTACGGAGACGGGGGTGGGGGTTAGGGGAGGAGGGGAGACACTCCTCACAAGCTGTCCCCCAGAAATTGTAGAGAGAAAAAAGGATTTCTTTTACCTTATTTGGTGACAAGATCAACTGATGACCCCTTCAGATAATGACCCCCCTCCCATTCCCAGAACCATTCAGCTATTGGTCTTTGGGTTACATGTCGAAAACGGAAAGATAAACTGGTCTAGCTCGAGGTATAGTCAAAACTACGCAATAAAATTCTGTGTGTTCGGCAAAGACGAGAAAACGGCCATTAAAGTGAGTGTCATATAAAGCCCAACCACTGGTAGAAGTGATAGAAAAAAAGAAAGCGAAAGATTTCAAATGAACAAAGAAACTGGCCATACCTCATCCAACTCTTTCTGCATCTGTCCTCGTTTCCGTCGGAACTCCTTGACCAGTTTCAACTCGCTCTGCATCATCTTGACCTCGTCTGTCTTTTCTGCTAGATTTGTCTCCAGCTGGTTCAATCGTGTCGTGAAGTCTTCAATCTGCACAGTCAAATCATTTCTTTTTATTGTCTGAACTTGACCAGAAAAGGCACAGAACTACTTTGGAAAATGTGTAAGATTTTGAAAAACCAAAAGCTTCATTCTTCTGCTGATCAATGAAACTGTTGGCAATTGGTATAAAACTTAACCCACCAGATGTGTTGGCCTATCAAGCATGACTACTGGTGAATTTACAACCAAAATGATGCTCTTAACACATGTGTGGTACCTCCTGTAACCAAACACTTACAATTTGCTGCTTTTCTTTTCTTGATTCTCTTCTTGTGTCTTTCAGTTGTTTCTGGAGTTTAGCAATCTGAAAATGAAAATGCCACAAATTTGAGATTTTCATACCTCATACAAGATGCCAATTCAATCGGTGAGGAAAATGTGCAGACACAAAATCCGGCACATCACAACTTCAACCAAATAACTCTGCAATTGTAAATTACTCAGTTGGGCTTTGAGTAAGAACAATTACTTCTCCGTTTAACTTCTCCATTTACATTTGTCTTACAGAAACTAAACTCCTTATGATTCAGACAAAAATTTAGCAAATCTCTATGTTTTTGCCACTCGAAGATATCAACTGATCTAAATACTAAGTTATTCCTCCAAGCATACTGTCATTATGAGGAAAACAGGATGCAAGCATATTCAAAAGAATCCCACTTAAAGCTTCAAAAGTTTGTAGTGTAACAATATTGATATTACAAATACTTAGTTAAAAACAACAAGATGGAAACAGTATGCCCCTTTGACTTTGTCCACAGGGCATAAAACCTGAACCATTTCAGTTTGATGGAAAATTACTGTGCAGAAGTGCACAGCTTCCTTGAACTGAAAGGACCATTTTGTTCCTTCCCATAATGAACTTACCAAATCTTCCTTGGACTGGTCCTCTTTCTTCAAGTAAGTGATGACATCAATGGTGTCCTTCTCTGATTGCTGCATCTGCCGCTGCAGGGCTTCATTCTCCAGGGCCATCAGTTTGGCACTCTCACGGAACTCAAGCCGAGATTTTTCAGTGGCATCCAGGCGTGCTTCCCAGATTCGCGTGTTGGCAAGAGCCATCGCAGTGTCAGAGAACTTCTTGTCCTTTTTCTTCCTAAACATACAAGACGAAGAGAAAAACGATCTATGAGGCTTACTACGTTTCACAACTGAGATAAATATTGATGTCTGAGAAGTTCGCCATGGAAAGATATTTTGTCTCTGTACTGTAATCCTAACTGTAATGTTTATGACGAATTCATCACAACACAGAATTTCAAACAAGTGGTAAAACTTGGATTGCCAAGCTGAAATATGTTAATATGTGGAGGAAAAAAACAAAAAAGTTGTATCTGTTACCTGAACTTCCATCTCGATGGAAAGAGTTCTGTGTACAGGGTCCATGGTTTTAAAAGGTTCTGTTGCTAATCTGCCTGGTTAATGAACCCCTTTTGATATCTCACTAAACCCCCCCCCAAAAAAACCACTGCTTTTTAAACATGTACAGCTCATATGTCTACAGGGTCCACATAGTGTCCGGTGCAAGAAAGTGTCCAAGTGAAGTCTAGCACAGCTGTTCCTATGGACATTATTTAGCAGGAACAGAAAGTTTTTTGGGGAATTAGCAGGAGGGGATGGGAACAGGTCAACTCATACGCATAGCAACTCGTACACTGACCAAATTGTACACGAACCAACTCGTATGCAAGCCAACTCTTATGCAAGCCAACCCGTACGCAAGTCAACTCATACGCAAGCCAACTCATATGCAAGCCAACTCGTACACCAACCAACTTCTATATCAACCAACTCATACATCACATGTGACATGCAAATACGCAAATAAATATGTACTAATGTAGCAATCTTGTAGAGCAGAAATGTACGTGAGGTGATGGGTTCCTCAACGGCGTGGCGTGGGAGGATAATATCTGAAAAAGTACACCGAAAATTTCCGCAGCTTAAGTTCTACATGCATTTCCAGCTGCTGAGTATCCACACCTTTTTGAAATCCAGAACGCAATGCGTAAAAATGGACAAAGATGTTGACCGGAGAGGGATTTAATGTGCGTTCTGTCGAACATCTGTGCTCAGAGGGCACTGCCGTCAGACGCCACTTATGTCCTGCTTCCTAAACACAGTGGGGAGTTTTCAACAAAATCGGACTAGTGAAAGGAACTTTATACATATGTTTGTGTTCAATAAATGGGAGCATCAAAACCCATATTATACTCCGCATATTCTCTGCCGACTGGGCCAGGGGAGTACGAGTTGACTCAGGTACGAGCCAACCTGGGTACGAGTTAACCCGGGTACGAGTTGACCCAGTTCGGGAAAACATGTAAACACAGGCATTATAATGAGAAAAAGGTTGTTCTGTGGTGTTTGTGAAGACAGCAAAGTAACAGGATTAATAAATTTGTCATTTTTATATTTACAAAATTTGTTTTCTCTAAGTTGCCAATAAAACTTTTAGGGTCTCGCTGAAAAATTAAGGTCAGTTGGGAAATCGCAAGCATTGTTTTGGCCTCTGCAAGTTGGAACTTGGATTCTCCGACTGTTTTTTGGTTCCTAAACATTGATGTTATTATTTGTTGCATTTAGGCCTAGGCCTCTGTTACTAAAGAACAGAATGAATGATAATCGGTGAGCTGAAGTAGAAATGGGGCGAAGTGGAGATGCGGCGAAGTGGCAATGGGGGATGTGGAGAAGTGGTTAGGGGCGAAGTGGAATTGGGGCGAAGTGACCGACACCCGACTGGGCTGATTTGGCCGTGCCTTCAAATTTAAGTAGGTCTACAGTACAGGCCTAGGCCTATACTAATATACTATCATTGACGGTATACAGGTACTTACCCCTTGCCTTTTCCCTTGCCTTTCCCTTTGCCCTTGCCTTTCTTTCCTTTCTTCGGTGGCATGGTTGCAGCTCCTTAGCAGGCCTATTTCGTTTCACCAAACCCAAAATCGTTTCCTAATTTCTAACTAAAAAATGTTCTCCCAGACCGACAATTGGAGAGTGATCTAGGCTAGGAGACGGTCTAACGTTAGTATTAGTAAATAGAAGAGACGAAGTTCACGATTTCACAGTTTGACAATGCGAGACCGACGATTTACGTAGTGACTTCCTTCATGTCCTTTAGGCCTACATTTTTTTAAGTGATGGTGAACAGGGCAATACAAGTCATGCAAGTCCAAACAACATGGAGGATTTTAAAACGGGGGTGATAAGCATAAAAGTTCGTACGCGGAAGAATTGATAAGCAGTAAACTAGTTTAGCGTACACGTTATTAGAGGCAGAGCTAGAGAGGCGCGGACCAGACTAACGTTGGCATGGCGACGTGGCACCGCACATTTCATGTATAACGCCCTCAGTTGAAGCGCTGAACATGTGGGACTGTGCATAACAACGTCGCGTATGGGGCACGTACACCTGGAAGGTAGTGCCACGTACACCATTCCCCAAATCGGACTACCGTAATAATCCTGCAACATCTTACTTGGAAGAAAACACATAGCAGCCTCAATCAGTCTGTAAAATATTGAATGCTGTAGTTTTGGCGAAAGCAGAAACTATAAGAGTTCATTCACTTCGCACCTTTGGAGTTGTGGCATGAAAGTCAAGGCAACTGCATATTTGACACTAGTGACACCTGTGCTTGAGTTTGCAACGGATCCCTCTACTAAAACCAATATACAATCACTGGAAAGAGTCTAACGGCAGGCTGCCAGATTTTGTACCAACAACTACAGTAGGGTCGAGGGCTCTGTAACTATAGTTCCCTAATAAATAAGCTGGGTTGGGAAACTCTCCAGTCAAGAAGGAGAAACCAGAGACTTTGTATGCTCTACAAGATGAAATACGGATTGGTTGACGTATAACCCAGATGAGTTCGTCCAGCCTAACACAAGGAAAACTAGTATGGTGAATGACCAAAAATTTCTACACATTCGTCATAAGTCTAAAGCATTCCAGGACTCATTTTTCGTTACCACTATAAAAGACTGGAACAATCTACCGCTCTCGTTGTAAATAGTTCTTCCCTGGATGTATTCAAGTTCAAATGCAAGCTAAAGCAGCACCGCCAGCTAAAATGATTTGGTCTAAAGTAGCCTCAACTTGAGTTCCACACGCAGTGCGCTTCTCAGGAGTTAGCGTGGATGTGTCTTGGAGGACATTTTGCTGACCAAACCATTCAGATTCACATCGCATAGTTAAACCATGGAGAAAGTTTTATTTCTCCATGGTTAAATGGACGCCAATTTTCTTGTGTGTAGTGTTTGCAGACGTGGGAGTCTCCATTAATGAACGGGTAAATCCAAAAGCAGCTAAAAATTTACCGACAGAAATTCACCAAAGGCGTTGTAAACTTGAATTATAGGAAGCTGGGTGTAAGATGTAAAGTGGAAAATAAATTGGATCAGCGTGAAGTTAAATTTTAGTCACGGAAAGGATTTTTCTTTGAAGGCGAAAACTTTGCAAATTCAAAATCGCCCGATATTGGTGAAAGGGATTTTCGTCAACAAAAAGTACGTATTCCACACGTTAATTAAACCTCCCGTGTTTCAAGACATACTTTGTTCTTTGCTTATAACTATTTGTGAATTAACTAAGAATTGAGTATTTAGACTTTCATCGACGTGTAAACTCAGTAACGCGTAAGTGCGGTCATTAACTTTGCACAATCTCGAGCGCACGTGCATTATCATTATTTATAGGCTTCGTTCACAGACATGAGCCGACTGCGTTCCTGGATGATGCTACATTGTCGAGGAGGCGCATTACTCCAAAGTAAAATTCACTGAATACTCCTAGCCGTTGAAAACTGCTAGGAGAATGAGAACCTGTCGTGTCGTTTCCCACCCGTGACCCCGCAGATGTTGTTCGCTTACCAGGAACGCCCTGTAATCCATAGATTTTACGCAAGATAAATTACAAGATCCTCGATATAAGCTTTGAAAATGTTTTTCTCGATTTCACAAAGCAGTTGGGTCAAACATGAAATAAGTCAGCGGAATGTAAGTTGCAGTGGATATTACACATCGTAATCAGCCAATCTTGTAAAACTACGACCAAAAAACCCAATGGTGTTCATTACCTTGAAGTTCGGTTCACACGCCGCCTGGGCGATTTTTTTGTTTTTTGGTTTCCTGTCTTATGATTGGTCTGTTACTCGCATATTTTATGCATAGTTCTGAAACTAACCGATCCACACATAGGTTGTGCCGCATGCCAAGCTAAAACTTTAAATTATGAATAAGGCATAAGCACAGGGGCGCCCTCTTTCGAATCTGTTGGATTTCGTTTGGGGGAAAAAATACACAGGCCGGGGTGCACTCCATGGGAGTTGGGACAGGACACTGTATTCAAATTGGAGGTGTCTACACATCTTTAAAGCTCAGAGTACAGTACGCTTTTATGAACAAAATTGAAACTACCAAAAAAAATTACTCTGACCTGTTCTCCATACACAGTTAGATTCTGATTGCCTCACAAAAGTGTACAGATGGTATCCAGAACTCTATTCATTATAAAAAGACAGAAGTAATAAACTCTAAAGGCTCTGCTTAATCCCAATTAATATCTCCATTCTCAGCTTTTGTCCTCCTATGCATCAACCCACTCCACGCACGTCCCACTAACCCAACCCTTCAACAGCTTTTCTCAAACTTACATACATTTTCGTAAGTACACATACTAAGCACACTCTTCTGGGGCTCCCTCTCCTAGTCAGAACGAAGGGGGGGGGATGATTATTTTCCTGTACGTGAATATTTTTACACAGATAAATATTTTCAAAGGCATTAATGGCCTCCTAACCATTGACCCCTGGTATGCAGCGTGTGCCCCTTTAAAAATGACACAAAGAAAAGGAGGTTCCAAACTCCAAAATAAAGAACACAATACAAAAAAGTTCTCTCCAGCATCAAAATTTTATTTCAAAAGACATATCCAATTTCATGACCCTGAAGTCAATGTTGTTATTCAGAAAGAGTACCCATTGCACACAAGAGCTACAAAAAAACTTCAGGTACTGCTTCCAATTCACGAATGTGCACCTAATTGTTATCATTCATAGAAATTAACTACACAGGGGTGTGGTCACCTCCCCCAAGATGAACCCAGAAGTACATACAACTGTACAATATGCCATACTTCAATGCTAAACAGTGAAAAGCACATGTATGTGTTTATAAAATAGACAATGCATAATTAACATGCAGGTTGTAAATTTACAATGGTACTGAGAGAATGGAACTAAAATTCTCAGCATTACTGCTCAGTTGTGCTTTTGGACAACAAAAGGAACAAAAAATAATAAAACAAAGCAATTAGATAGAAAGTCTGCCAATATCTTGAATGTGTTTTTAAAAAGACAATTTGGAATTTTTCAAAATTTCAAATAAACTTCATAAACAAAATGGGAGAGATTTGTCTTTGTTTACAGGTTTAATAGCTAGGAAAGAAGGAGGTGATAAAAAATGACATCATCGGGGGAAAAGGCGTACACGTAACAACCAGGCAAGCCGTAAATCCCATTATCTTGGCTACCCAACTGTCTCTGTCTGCCTGTAGTTACTTGTACTTTGTGATGGCAGCAGCCAGCTTTGCTTCTGAAGCCCCTGTAACGCTGTGCTCTTTCTGTGAGAGTGTAAAACACAAGAATAATATTTTTAAAAGTCAGAGTAAAAACGACTTTAATTGGAAAGTACTGAGCACCATGTGAATGCAGGAAAATAGAGGAAAAAACCCCAAGTCCCAAAGAGAGTTAAAATGTGCATACAAATCAAGTGAGGCTTGATTACCCCCCCCCCCAAAGTTCTCCGGTTTCTAGTCAGCGCATGTGTCATGTATAAAATGATGTCCAAAAGCTGCCAAACTTGCTTAATCAACTGGAATCCTGGCACTGCGTAATTTCAACACGTTCTTGATGGGGTACGGTTGAGTAATATGTACAGCTAAAGAGTCCCTGTGGTCCCCCACATATTTCGTCGGGCATTCTTTTCAAATGACATCATTTTTGCATTATACATTTACATCTGGGAACTACACAAACAAGGTCGTCTTATGTCCTGTGTACATGTACAAACTGCAAATGCTTTTAAACAGTAAAAGTGCAGGGACCAGTCTATGTTAGTGTTGGTGGCGGCTGGCGTTATGTGCGCATGCAGTTGCGGTGGACAGCACATGGTACCCGCACATCATTTCCAAAAAAAAAGTGAGGGTAAAAAAAAACACGTCGCTGCATCACTTTTGGAGCCAGCTGCTGACCAGAAACCAGAGACTTTTGGGGGCCTTAGACACTATGCCTTCAAATAAGCAAATGTCTGCATCAAGAAAAGATACATGCAAACCTTGCCAACTCTGTGTGGCCCTCAGAACAAAACAGGTACCTTGCATTGACTACGCCAGAACCGTACAAGCTTTTCACCTCTCTCAAAATAGGTGTAGAGGGATTTGGGGGTCAGGGTTATTTGCAGCAAAAGAAGAGAAACAGTTGAGGAAACCATAAACAAAAATCCAAGAAAATCAACTAATTTCACAGAGCTTTCTTACCAACACGAAAAGGACAGATTGTCCACACTAGGTATGTAATGAAAGCATGTGTGTAAATAGAAGTCTATGACATTTTCCCCAAGACTGTGTATTGTCCTTTTAAACTCTCCTCTTAAACAGAAGTCTTGTAGCCAGTTAAGCCTGCCAGTGTTTTGCACTTTTGGTCATCAACATATTTTCTCTCACTGATGCTTATTCAGAGAGGAAAAAAAGGGGCAAACTTTGCCTACAGACCTTACTCACACAGAAGTCAGTTTCCATCTTATTTCCTGAATCTGTTTTATATATTTTGCACAGTAGCTTAAGATGGAACCAGATTTTTATGAAAGTAAAAAATTTAGACTGGTTCTCATCCTGTACATAGTCTCCAGACATCTTACAGTCCTGTCCTCTGAATGTAGAGACTAATAGCGGGTAATGAATCCGGCAGAATCCTGTCAGGTATATGTAATTTAGGAAACGATGCCTGCTCAATGCAGAAATCAAGCAGGAGCTGATAGCATGTTTTACTTTTGCTTCTTCGTTGCAAAAATAATTTCACCATAAATTGTTTAGTTATCTAGAATTTAATACAATAACCACTGATTGAATAAATTGCCGCAAAATGACTTATTGATGACAATCACTGAAAAATAAATTAAAACACTGTGATCAACTGAGGCTTAGCAAGGATAGGCATTTGTGTTTTTTTCACTTCCCTGCTGAAAAGTGTTTCATGCTCAAGCAGTGCTATTGGCCTGACGATAACTTAACTATTCGATCAACATCCAAATTGACAGGGCTAACTGCACAGCTGTTAAACCGCAGTAAGCTACCGGTTCCTATATAATAGTGACTTCCTGCTCAGACCAGTGTATAGGACACAGCCTTGGGTGGTGTACTTCCAGCAAATTTCAAATCGTGGAATGATTTTCTTTGAGGCAATCTGTCTTTAAACAGCCTCCAAACTCCAACTGTTCACCCAACAATATTCAAACTATGATATCCCAAATGATGATTTCCAACGTAGACTGGGAACGAAACCAGGGATTGGGACTGGTGAGGAAGGTCACTAATGAAATTCAGAACCCTCTTCAAATGATTCAAATCTGTTACTTTCCTTTTTGCAAAAAATCTATTTCCTTTTCAGTTTCAACTGGAACAAAGGAAAAATTTCACTATGAAACAAATCAGTAATGGTGACGCTGGTAACATTGCGGTCAGCCGGTCACACTGACAGTGAGCTATTGGAATGAAATACACACCTTTCCATTCTTGTAAAAGAAGAAAGTTGGCATGGCAGATATACCGCAAGCTTCAGTTACCTCCTGGAAGATTTGAAAAAGCACGAGAACACCTTGCATCATACACAAAAACCAAATTTCATGGTGTAAAGGGGGCAGTTCTTATTGGCTAAAACATAAAACTCCAATCATGAAACTTGGCAAATAACCTCCTCGTAACCTTCAAAATTTACCAATATCCAATAACCCAATGGGAAATTCTTTGCACTCCAATGCTTAAGGGAATCAAGTCCCAGGGCCAGCACGCAATTGCATGCTTACAGTGGTCAGTGCATATTTCATGGAGACTGCAAGCAGTAAGCACAGCCAAAGACATATTACCTAGGAAGAAAGCTTTGCTTAAAGTTAATGACGTATCAATTGAAATCTCTAAGCACGCAAATGTTAACACAACCATGCCAAGTGCCGTACAGAGTACTCGGAGTACTTTAGGTGCCAAGTCCCAGGCCGAGTACAATTACACTGGTGATATTGCTGAAGCAGAGAGTATGAATACATTCAGGGCTAAGTATTGCGCCAAGTCAAAGTACTGAAGTCCAAGTCCAAGTACACATACATGCATAATACCAAGGTCTTAAACAAATGAAATGCAAAAGTGAACACATCTACATGTATAATACTTCAAACACCATGCAATTACATGTATCACGTTTGCCGAGTAGTTAGCACCTTCAATTTTCATTTTTGAAAAAAAAAAAGTTGCTTTAACCAATGTAAATATATCTGCAGGCGACAATTCTTAATAAATATAAGCAATGTAAATATATCTGCAGCCGACAATTCTTAATAAATATAACCAATGTAAATATATCTGCAGCCGACAATTCTTAATAAATATAAACAATCACACCACTATACACAATGCTACTCAGGTAATCACAACAGGAAACTGGCGAACAATGTCCGTATATCATGTAGTGAATGTGCATGATGCATGTAGAGTGGTGGACAATAACCTCATGCGGCAACAGGAAATTTGTGGAACACAGAAAACACATAGACATCAAGTTCTGTGAATTAACTTGCAGATAGCTTCTTTCAACATCGATGTTTTTAAGACGTGCAGCTTTAGAGATGCGTGCATGTACATGTATGGTGAAGTGTAATGAAGACTCAAAAGACAACAGGAATTTTTCCAATCTTTTTAAAATTTATTTCTCCTAATTTGCCAATAAACATTTTAGGTTCGTGCCGAAAAATATTTTCAGGGTCAGTCAGAAAACTGGAAGCAGACCTTTGTTTTTGGCCTAAAAAAATTGTATATCGGAAAAAAGCCTACAAATTCAACTATGAAAAGGCTACGAAAAATGCAACAAACCCTCTGTCAGTGTCAGTCCACGTGCTGCGACGCTCATGGAGCATAAGCTTGGCTTACTGTATATCAGCGCTACCATTTTCCTAGAGTAAAAGCTGCAGAGGCAGAAACTAGACTAGCTGAAAAGCTCCTTGTAGTTGTACCCAGGGCACGGTAAACATTCTGTACGTTACAGACTACAGAGCGAAACCACTGTGTGGCGTAGCCTTGTGTTCAAGGCAATCTTCGCTTGTTAGCCAAAGCCCAAAACCCTGATTGATGAAAAAGTGAAGTACTTGAATTTTTCTCAAGTACAAGAGTTGAGTACCGAGTACCTAAGGGTCGAGTATGCCCAAACTCCAAGAACAAAGAATTGAGTACGGGCCAAGTACATGCACACTGTACATGACCAATGATTATTCGAGTACTGATAAATGAGTATGGGCCGAGTACTCTGGTGTACTCGAGCTGTACTCAAGTACGAGTACTCCAACACTGTGCAACAGTGCTTAAGGTTAGCAAATTTTTTTTGCTAAAGAAAGCACGACTTTTCTGCTAACTGTTGAGCAGCTCTGTGAAATTGGGCCTGGTGATGGGCAGCAGAGTTGGCTGATTTAAATCATCATGGTGGGTGGTACTTTTTACATAATCCTGCAGAGTCTCTGGGTCGATTCTGACATATCTGGGAGGGTTAATACTTGCAGTCTCTTCAATATGAAGAGCATTCAACTTAAAGATTACTGCCTGTTGGGAGAGGAGGGGGTGGTTGTCACATTTTCAAGACTCTATTAAGCTCCACCCCAAAGTTCTCTAACCAATCACAGCGATATATCTGAGTGTGCACAAAATCGGACATTCATCATGGCCAAGTGTGGCAGACATGCAAATGGCATTGCAGTGATTGGACAGAAGTGGTTGGTGCTTACTGGAGTGGTTGGAAATAAACCGTGCGGCTCTGAGATAAGGATAAGGATTAGGGAAGCACAATAATGTTCTTACCGATACTTCATCCACATCCACTTTGATAAACATCACGTCCATGTTGCTTTTGGCCATTTCCTAAAATCAGAAAGATCCTGCATCACTTTACTGTTTCTACTTCGTTACTGTGAATATTTCTCAGGTTATGTGACACATATCAGGCTCATTCCTGGCAGAGTGGATGTGCAACAACTAATCTGAGGAGCCACCGTAACTGTGGTAGCATGCATTCACACATATGCGTTCTTGAGCTTGACACAAATATGCTCTTGGCAAATCTGGACAACCTATTGGTCGAGGAGGTGTAAAGCACGCTTACCACTTGCCACACGCGCTGTGCCACTGCAATATATGGCCTCTAATTCTGGTTACCAAATGACGTTATACACGCAACTCAGGAGGTCTACTACTGCCAATGTTGTAACTTCAGGCACATAGCAGGAGGCCTTCAAAGGCCGTGTCCAAGTTACTCGGATACTGCGAGATAAAATATGAACAACTTGAACCGACTGGTTGGCATTTGCCATGTTTGCGATCATTTACCATGGACGCCCATACTACTGTTGACTGCAAACCACTTAATTCGACATAGTCTCTGTTGGCCCTCTGGTGTAAGCACGTAGCAATGCTGACCTACGATGGAACTGTTTCTCAAGTCTATGCAAACATGCAGTGTTAAACGTTATGTCTCATTGCTTAGAATACTATGGTTTGTCTTGTGTGAGCTAATGTGTTGTTGCTGCCAGGTACGTTTCACATAATTACTTACTTGAACTTTAGGACCTATCATTTTGCATGGACCACACCACTGAGCATAGAAATCCACCACCAGCAGAGTGTCTCCGCACTCGTTCACATACTTGTCAAACTCCTCCTAGAATTCATTAGGAACAAATTTTGTGATAAGATTCAATTGATAACTTCAAATATTCCTGAAATATACCTTTTTGTCATTCTCTTAATTTAATTCTTATTCTATTCACAGCTACAAATACAGATTGACAGAGACTCAAGAAGAAAAACTGGAGTTGGCAGCAAACTCCCAAAAGCAAAGCCTCTGATAGAAAGTATAAAAAATATTAACAGAATATGTGATCGACATACATGTATGTAGTAGCAGTCTGAAATATCACCTGGGGAAATATTTGGGAAATTCAGTGCACTCAATAAGACTCTACTGATGTGTCTGCACAAGGTGACACAGCATACATAATTCAGAACTGAATAAATCTGAGTGCAAAACAACAAGAATACAACCCGTGAGTTAGCGTGAGGACACTCTTGGTTAGAAAAGAATATACATGTATGCTCTTGATCCGAGAGTAATGCGCATGCAATGTTTTCCTATACTATGGAGTGTCAAGAAAGGCATACATGTCTGAATGCACACTCTCGGTCCCCCTGAACACTCACTGTGCATGTTTTGTCACTGTGCCTGAGAAAAAGAGCTACAGTGCACCGGGGACTGGTTCACCATGACGTTAAGGTCCAATAATATCCACGGCTTTATAGTGTCTATAACCCCTTCGCTACAATCATTACGGCATTTTAGACTGGTTGCTGTCTACTTACATGTATATTTAATCAATCTAGGAAGAGTTCCATATCTGGCCATCATCTTACCTCGTGCACAAAGTGTACAGGTCATGACAGTTTTCAAGGAAAACTTGACATTTTTACGGTGCTTAAATTGTTTCTTTATCAGCTTTGCCGTTGTTGGTACTTATATTATGGATGATAGGTGGCGATCTGATACGGAACTCTTTTCCAATGCTCTAACTATGAGCCTTGGGCTTGACCAAGAGAGGGCGCAATTTTTCCAGCAATGCAGGCTCCTTTGGCGCATGGAAACTTCACTGGTTCACAAATGACCATGGAATGAAGGTGTTATGGTCATGTCACTACCAACAAAATCAATTCTCCCCAGAAACATAGCTCTTTTCACCCAATGAGAGGGTGCTCAGCTCAAAGTGGACAGACTTTTGAAAGTTATATTTTGGCTTCCGTAAGGCCACGAGAACGAATAATCCGGATTTGCGTCCACCGCCCGCATATTGCTGAAACAGCTGCCAAAAAGTTTCATTATTTTCCAAAAAGTTATTATTTCAGAAAAATTTTTGTTTTTCCGATCGGGCATGGTTAAAAAATGGTTGCAAAGTAAATTGGGAGTTCACAGTGCGGCCGTGTACAAATGGCGTGATGCAAGACAGACTGAAAACTAGTCTACTTTCAAGGTTGCTTCCCTTTGCATGGACACATACTCGCTATCAATCTGCAGTATGTACACCAACTAATGAATATTGAAAAAAAAACCTCATGAGTTTTCAGAATTGTTCGGATGGAAATCCGCGATGTTCATTCTCATGGCCAAACTAGGCCTATCCGTCTACAGCTACTGTACTGAGCCTGAGGGGAAGGGGTGCTACAATAAGGCCTAACAGTTAAAGGCTAAACTAAATGTGTCTGTGTCCTAGGTCAAACGTTCTCTTCTAACTGCTTCTTTTTATCATTTTAGTGTCTTTTCTTGGTTCTCTTTTGTTAAACTGTGCAATTGGTCTATCTGTAAACTTTCCAACTTCAATTCTTTCTGAGCTTTTGATGTTTCTTATTGACAATTGTTTGATGTCAATAAAGGTATTTCGAACATCATACAACTTGCTGAAGCAATGTCAATAACTTTTTTAATAGGTCCTATAAAATTCCAAAAGACACACATGAATTATTTGGTGGAACCTTCATGACATGCCGTCAGACCCTGTGGCTAGGCAGTAGTGCAGTCCTATCTAGTCTTTAACGGGAAGCTTGGTGGGATTAACACTAAAATTAGCCTATTTTTTCACTCAATTAGGCCTAAGTAAGTGATGATCTAGAACTGTCGATCACGCACGATGACTGTGCATGTTTATATGTTTGGCCGGGCTTGTAAGGCCAACCATGGAGGAAGGAGTCTTCCATGGGCCAACACAACAGGTGATTAAGTGCTGGGTAAAAACACAAGTTTTAAAAGCCTACCTTGCTTTGGATCTCAACTACCTCACCCTTGGGCGTTACTGCAGACATTTTTATAACAGTGAGCTACTTTTACGATGGTGAGACTTCCAAAAAATGAGCCAGGAAGAAGCTAGCTGCGCATTCAAGCATTCAACTTCGAAGGAGGGGAAAAACGATGACTCATGCATGCAACCTTGCAGCACAGACAATACTGCTACACTAGTGCTAGGCCTAGCGCTAAACGTTGGTAAGTGGCGCGAAGTCCGAAAGGCTGGGGTTGCGGCTGCGGCAAGGTCGTGTGTGATACCAAGCCGCAGTCGTGTGATTCGGATATTGCTGGTACCCACGGGGGGGGGGGGGTATATGTCAATTATACATAGCGCTTACGAATGTGTTTATGCACTGGCGATGGACAAGTTCCCGTGACTTTTGACTAAAATTGGTCATCTGTTTTTCTGCTATCAGAACTGCAGAAAAGCAGATTTTACGTCTTTGTAACATGCAATTTGCAACTTTTCTGCTACCTCAAAACAGAATGAATATTTTATTGTAAGGCATTTTTCCACTTTTCTGCTCCTAGAAAAGCAGTTTTACTTTTCCTCTTTATGCTGGCGGCCGAAAAGTGGCCAGCTGCTTTTTTACCTGTCAAAAAGCAGAAAAGTGAATTGAACGTTTTTGATGACAATCGTGAATTTAACTTTTCTGCTTTTGTGATACCGGAGAAATACAGTTTTACAGCTATCATCCAATAGACACACAAGCTTGCTGGGGCCATGGAAAACATGTGAGTCTTTCATTGCAAAAGATAGGGTGGACTGTAATTATTGGTCATACGTCTTCAATCCCCCAGAAAGGAAATGGCCATGACCTGAGGTTCACGGCCCCGTTCATGTCCCTTGGAAGGCAGAAAAGCAGATGGTCACTTTTTTTCTGCAGCCGGCCTATGTAACATCTGCTTCTCCGGTATAAAAACAAAACAAAACAAAACAAAAGCAGAAAAGTAGAATTCACGGTGTTTGTCGAAACGTCCGATCCTCCTTTCTGCCTGTTCGAAAGGAGAAAAGCAGATGACCAATTTTCGGCTGCCAGCAAACGGAAAAAAATCAAATTTGCTTCTCTTGAAGCAGAAAAACAGGAAAGTAGGAAAATGCATGCATATTACCAAAGAGTGTTTGTTCTGCATTTGAGGTGGCAGAAAAGTCAAACATTGCATTTTACAAAAACATAAAATCTATTTTTGTACTATTCTGATGACAGTGAAGCAGATGGCCACTTTTCGTATTTCATACGGGCGGGGTATAATGATGGCCACAAATTGGATTTTTATGACTTTTTCTGTGGGGTGAGGCTACATTAGAGGCTTAAACATGTTTTTGTGAGGAAAGAAGAAACAAATCTACAAAAGGGTGTATTTCTCTCATTAAAAATTAAAAGGGCTCTTTTTTTGCCCACTTCGGTTGGCCCCCGGATTCGCCTTTGCCCAAGATATATAGGTCGACTGACAGACGAGGTCTCCAAAATATGAGCGCTTCCTATCCAAAAGCTTCAGTTGAAAACATTGACCTAAAATAACATCACGAAAGCACGCATGCACATCTCGAGATTAAGGTTGTTTCCGAACTCAAACGAATCGAGCACCACTTATGAGATACAGCTGAATGCGATACAGGTGATAGAAATTGTCTTTTTAAAAAATCGCCAGTAATATTGAATATGAGTCACACTTGCAATTCCGACCAATTAGCAATTAAGGAATATCAGTTGGTGACGCGTGGAGGATGAGCCCAATTTAAGACAGGACGTGTTCAAAATTGTGTAAATTTGGCTAGGTGTAGATAAATCCTGTCGCTTTTCGAGGTCAAGTGGGTTTTCTTTTACAATCAGTAGCTGTTTCCATCAAGCCTATACCGGTTCTCAAAGTATAATCGTAGACCTCATTAAACTGAAAACATTCCTGTCAATAATTCTGACTTTTAAGTGCTTGTAATTTGATACCTGATGACGTCACATTGAGTCACAAAGAGCACCTACATGTCCCGACATCAATGTTTATGTTAGAAAGAGATTCCAGATTAATATCCAAAACTGTTTGGAAGATTATTGACCCAAGAGAGGCTGTTTTAAGCCTTTAAAATGTACCTGAAGGTTCACCCTTCGTTAACCCCATCAGAAGCAGAGGTCAAACTATTTTGATATCATGACCAAATTGTTACCTAACGTCACGGTCCGTCATATCCCAAAATGTGAACACCATAATTAAATCAGTTCATGAGATGCAATTCACAGAAGTTGATCTTAATTTTCCTGGACGTAAAATCGCTTGTAATTTTACTCATGATGTTGGTATCTGATCACCATACAAAATAACCTCTGCCATAAAGACGCCTTTCCGGTGCCCGATCATTTAACGACATTACTGAGAAGCAAAAACGCATAGAAAACCAACAGACGATGCACACTGAACCCAATCAGGATGAGACTCTGACTGTGACATGCCAAAATGCAAATCTCACTACGGAAATGAAAAGGAAAACATAACATCCTTCTTGGGCTATCCAGCTGCCATTTATGCCTTGAGTGTGTATACTGTTGCTTGATTCCGGTGCACCCAAACACACTACCTCCGTGGCTTTTGGATTGGGGCTTAAATATAATTTTATACGTAACTTCAGCATCCGTATGTACTATGTAGGGTCGTGGGCACAAAGGGAAACAAATAACTTTAATCGAGCTGGCTTGCGTAGTGTAATGAGCACAAAAAGGATCAGCATTGTGGGCGTTTTTGTTTCGAATCCCAAGAGGGCATGTTTAAAGGTCCTTTGTAGTTGGAAAATATCAATTTTTAAACGATATTTGTTATATTTACTGCCCATAGTTGTACATATGGTTTATTTTTTAGGGGTGAAAGCTCACTTAGACACGTTGTTGATAAGGGTATACCGTCCATAATACATTGCTGCCCCGTTCTGAACGGGCTTTTTTTCTCTGTAAAAGCCTGGATTGTAAACAGCGGTGAGTGGTCATATCGGTTGCCGATGAATACTTCTGCCCTATACGGACGATCGCATCCTGTGGTGCGACGCGACAATGCGATGGCACTAAGCGGCTGTGTGCCGGTTGGGGTGCAAGTGGCTACGGATCCCAGCAACATGTGCCGCACTTGCGACATTTCCGAACTCGAATTTTGGCTTAATAACTTTCAATCTCTAAACGGCTTTACCATTAAAGGCAAATTAGTTCCATCTTTGCCCGTCTATTCGGACGCCAGCGATATGGGCTACGATGGTTACGTCGAAGATCACCCTAACATTAAGTTGAACGGTGTCTGGACCCCAGTTGATAGAGAGAAAAGTTCTACCTGGCGTGAATTTGCCGCAGTGCGGCAGATTTTGCACGATTTAAGAGACGCCGTGTCGGGCAAGAATATCAAATGGGTAACCGATAATTCTAACGTCCCAACCATTGTTCAGTGCGGCAGCACCAAACCTGACCTACATGAAGTGGCAATTGAAATATTTCACCAGGCTAAAGAGATTGCCTGTGTTCTGTTCTCCGAATGGTTGCCTAGAAAAGAAAATAAACTTGCAGACCAAAGCAGTCGAATTCGAGATTTTAACGACTGGTCTATTGACCCGGTATCATTCCGTTTTCTTAATAATCTGTGGAGCTCTCACACAGTCGATCGCTTTGCTTTACCTCACAACGCGAAAGTGAAACACTTCAACTCTGGGTTTTTTTTGTAGCAGTACGGCCAGCGTTGATGCGTCTTCTCAAAATTGGTCCGGCGAGAACAATTGTCTTTGTCCCCAGTATCACTGAGCATTCAGGCATTCAAAGGAATTCTCCCTGATAAGGCGACCGGCACTTTAATCGTGCAGCACTGGCCCACTTCGGCTTTTTGGCCAATTATTTAGCCAGACGGTATGCACTTTCACAGCATGGTAAAAGATTGGAAATGGATGAACATTTCATTTACCCAATCTTCCTTGGGTACAGATTCCGTGTCTTCAGACCCCGTATTTTGCTTGTATAGCAGTTCGTTTTGATTCCTCTTCAGGCCTTCGTTCAACTTTGGTTTTTGTGTTTCCAAACGGAGCAATTGCCCGCGGTCCTTTCTTTCCGCTTGAATATTGATATCGTCGTGTTTTTTTCGACAGTTTGAATCTATGGCCATTTTCGGCCGGTGTCGAATTGCAATCTAACGAATAAGCGACCCGATTAGTGGTCCGCTCGCTTGCTAAGTGTATTATGTGCATGACTTGTATTCGATAATCATGGTTTCTTACTCTTTTCGACCTTTTCCCCTTTTTTGCGTTCTCAGCGAGGTAGGCAACTCTTCCTACCACACGTGCTCCAAACTGCCTGATTTGTTGCTCTCTCATTTACACATGATGGGGATATAGGAAAGAAAAGAATTTTCTTTCGGAAGAATGAAGAAAGAAAGAATGCTCTCATTTAGTGACGGATTGATGCTCCACTGCCAAGAGATTTACCTCGTTGAAGTGTACTGCAATCTGTCACCGAATGAAATGATTCTTACCAATGAACTAAAACGTTTATTATTATTTTGCTCAGTAACGTACAGCGAAAATGACTTCTATTCAGGGCACACCGATGTGCATTGTTGTCAGGAGCAGCTTTTCCTGTATTACAAAGACACAACCAGCACCATTCCTGCACATCCCTTGGATCCTTCTAGGAAGGTGAACATCAATAGGTTCTTTTTCCATTTACAACTCACCCAGCGAGGCAAACAAGCAACCCATGAACCATTAACGTTACCCTGGGATGAACGGATATTAGACAAAGCAGGTTTAAAGAAGGTTGTTGACGATAACGAAGCAGAGACTGCGTTTTTATTCGACGGCTTAGATGAGATTCCACCTGAGGTTCTGAAATCTCCTGCTCCAGAAGACGGATATAGCATTCAGGACGTCATATATAACAGAGTCTTGAAAACAGTCACGTAAAAGTGACAACCAGACTGCACATGGCTGACTTTGTCCTCGTTCAAAACCAAACGTTCAAAGTTACAAGCGAATACATCTGGCGTATTTTGCTGAAAACGCCGGCTCAGCAGAAAGACTGATATCGACACTGAAATCCATTCAGTCACTGAAAACTATTTCCCAAATACCAATGGTGGTGCTCTTTATGTGCATAATTTGGGAAACCTTTCGAAATTGCCCGAAAGGCTGACAGCTCTAATTTACACGGAGTTTGCCGATGTTCTTGTCAGTCGACGATGCAATGAAAGTGACGATAAGAAGCAGTTAATGATATCGGTCCTATACAGGGAATAGGAAAAGGCGCTCTCAACGGGTCCTAACGGCGAAAGGCTCATGTTCTCCCCTGAAGAATTTCCAGATATTAGTATCTTGAACGATGGATGTCGTTTGAGTTTTGTTCAACAGGAAAGTTTCACAAGTGGTTTAAGGTTGATGCAATTGGTTGCTTTCCTCCACAAGACTTTCCAAGTATACTGTGCGGGGTTCTACTTTGCTAATTCGCATCATGGAGAGCGACAGTTGTTCCTGAAAAGTTGGAGCAGATAAATGAAAGGAATGTTTCGCACTGGAATATCTGGTTCGGTTTACATGTGGCATGGCATCGAGGTCTGCAGCTCGACTCATCTTGGAACACATTCAAACTCTGCACATCGAATCCGTGCTGTTTGTTGCTGTTCGAATCTGGTTGCATGATAGGTTTAGTGGATAAACTGTAACCACCAATCATGGTGGTGTGTGCAAAACAGAAAGACTTGAAAGCATCGGGACACTACTTGAAGTATGTTTCCCATTCACTTGATGACACATGTTCTTGTGCAGACCGAAACAACAAAACTATTTGTTATATACCACAGTCATAAATACTGAATTTTCATTGATCACGATATGCTACGAACGCACATGTATCATTCACGCGCTGAGTTGAGCGCACTGGCGATGATGCCGGGCCACAAAAACATAATGGATCACGGTGATCTTTCACACAGTTCATGTGTCGCGTTTATACTGCGTCGTAATTGTGTAAGCTTGGGAACGAGGTGGACGGCTGCGGTGGTACCATGCGCCAGTTATTGTGGGAGATGTTCATTGTGTGTAGGGGGGGGGGGGAGAATGAAGCACTCTGTCTGTTCGCATGTGCTGCTCTCTTCTTCACTTTGACCATGACAGAAACCTAACTGCGGGTTATTAAGCTTCTGTTCGTGCACCCAGCTATGCTCGTGGAACACGAGTATGCTCTGATCACTGTTTCTGCTGCAATCGCCATTGCTGTTTATATAAAACGCTTACGCCAGTCTCTTCTCGTCTGCTCTTCAATATGTTTTTCAAAGGAATTTGGTGTAAATAACGTTTAGAAACTCAAAAGGTCGACACAAACCAAAGTCCTAGGTTTCTTTATAATAAACAAGTTAGAAATAAATCCTAGATTTCTCCCTAGGTCAACAAAGGACATCACAATCATTAATTTTCCTTCAACTTTAATATCTAAGTTTCTGATTAAATGTCTCAAATTTGTCAAAATGTTTTCATTTATCTTGCAATAAAATATGCATTTCTTGAGTGTTCAATGGTAGGCTTTGGGACGCTGGTAGCAAAAGACATACCGGGCATTTTTCAAGGTATTGCGCGTGTTTAGCACTATGCACGCACAAAAATCGGGCGTGGGCCAAAATAACCTCTGGCTCTTTTAGGGTTAAATTGTTAGTGAATTAGGAAAGCACATGTGGATGGTATCATGGAGCTATCAAACAGAGCCAACACGTTCTATTTAGAATTCGCCTATTTTATTATCGGGGACATTTGGGTTAAGAATATAAGAAGTGTTGACCCTTGTGAGCACACGTTCCCTCTTACTGTTCCTCCGTTATTCATCCTAATATAAACAAGGTTGATAAGCATTGTACTATTATGCACTGTGCAGACAAGGCTTAGGATCAAGGGGTTGTGGGGAGAAAGCAAGAATCCATTGCTTGTAGATGAAAGTGGACTTCCAAGATCCGGACATCACGTCCTGTCTTGGATTGCGACGGGAAAGATGGCTGTGGTTTACATATGACCTTGACTGTGAAAAATCAAAGTACGGAATTTAAAGTTCACGAATTTTGAAAGACAATTTGACGTCAGTGCTACTTGCTGGAGAATTCCGCTTGAACACGCCTGTTCAACCATGCCCGTATATTCAAAATCAGTTTCCCCGGAAGACGTCCCGCCTGAGCTTACAATAGGCCTACGTAATATATCCACGAACATAACGTGCCATTTTGCAACAATGCATTATTTTACAAATAGTGTCTAAAATAGGGCATAAAAATATGTCGGAGGAAACGTGGCATATTTGGTCTTCCCGAAGGGCGATGCAGCATGTATACATTCACCTATATCAACTAGCATTTGATCTCAGAGTTGAACTTGAAGGACTACTGAGTAAAGGGCAAACTACTAAAACCGAATTAAAATGCCATGCACGTATTTCAGGATTCATACTAGAGATTTTATTTGACTTAAATACGAAAAAGTATAACCCAAGTTTGGGTTCAATGAAAATACTCTTCAGCGGAAGATATTAAAATGAACGCGATTCCATCCATCACCTCACTTCGGCCCGGCAACATGAACGTTATTTACAGAGACGTGAATTCATGGTACATGTATCTATCGTAGATATAAAAATAAATATTAGCTTGTGGTTATAATACTCAAAGGATCCACTGTCAAAGCCGAATGACATGTAGTAGGCCTTAGAGTTTGACCGGGGTTGAAAACAACTCTTTCAGGGATTTCAATTTTTCACCAAATAGACTGAGTGTTTATAATACTTTGTCAAAATTATGGTCAAAGATAATGTAAAACCTGAAATACTGCAGACATGTAAAAAAATCACATCCTTGATAACTGCACAGGCCTCAAAATATTTTCAATGGTACCCTTTTGAGATGTTTCATATTTAAGAACCTCTTTTCAATTGATATTGTTAATACAGTTCGGTAATGTGCTTGTTTACTGATACAAAAAGTTATAGAAACTATAGGAGCTGGAATACATTTATGTTTGTTTGCCTCACATACACTTGCGTAATCTAGTGTGCAAAATGCTTCAAAATAAATGTATGATAATTACTTTTTAAACCTTTCTGAGCTTATACGAGCCTCATATTTATGACGAGTTGAGTAACTGTATTATATGAGTTAAATATCAATTTTACATGCATGGAAATTTTGAGGAAAAGCCTGAGCTGAGTCTACAAACATTCAAGTTTGTAAATGCCTGCTTCTGTTACAGATTAGAAAACTATACCAGAGTATTATTCAATGTAAGGGTGTGTCCAGAACCAAATGGGGGGGTATTGCTTTGTTGTCGGAGGGAAAACCCCCAAATTTTGCAAACTGTCTTTATGTAACCTTTCTCAGAGGCGAGGCTGAATTAGGGGGCTTTTAACACACATTAAGATGGGAAGTGAAAACCCCCCCCACCCCAGATAGTTTGTATTGGGTGGGGTCATGTAATACTTTTCTGCACAAGAGATCAGTATGTGTAGAATGCGAAGCTGTAATTTACATCTATAGTTAATGCGCTATGGTAAGGTAAATGTGAGTTTCTCGCTCCCATAACACAGCCAGTTTGTTTCATTTTTACAATTCTGATAGTCACTGCTCTGGGTAAATTTATATGAAACAGATATGGCAACATACCTCAGTAACAATCAATTACATCAATTTTTTTCATTTGCAAGTTGAAACCTGTTCATGAAAGACTCCATTTCTGAAAGACTTTAATTGAAAGACGTTTGATCTATTCATAACAATTGGTAAGGATAAATAAATTATTAATTTGATCATCCTGCTAAGTGGGCATAAAATATGTTCAATGGAGTCAGAACCAGCAAAAACAAACATTTGAATATTTTCTTCAGTACTGATGAGTTCTGTACAAACATTTACCATAAATGCATGTATTGCTCAGAATGCAAAGCATGTATGTGTGATTGCTGATAGCAAAAATATCAATTTTTAACCCCTTCAGTCTGATTTAAAGTATATTTATTGTGCTCAACCATGATTGAAGTTGTAAACACTGAATTCTTGTCTTACATACGATGTCAGTGCAAGGAAACACCCAACTTACAATCTCTAAGACTTTCTTTTAATAGTAATAATTTTTCTATACTAATGTCACAATAATGTTGAAATTTATTGTCAAAGATCATAGATTGATTAAATGAGGGAAGACACGTTCTTCTACTTACAACAGAAACTGATATTCTTGGTTAATTTAGTAAGCATGTTCATAGTATGAAGTCATGTGAAACCTTTCTGTTGTGACCCTCGTGCTTCATCAAGCTCATCAACAAAAAACTTAATGATTAAAATCCTTATGTATATAAGCTACTATCACTTATTTGTACTAGTGTGTCCAAGGAGTATTTGCATTGCCTTATACTAACAGAGCAGTCAACGAATCAAAGTTGAAACTGCTCCTCTAAAGTACCTTACAATCAAGATGGCAATGGACTGTGACCTCTACTCTTGGCACTTGCCCCACGAGACACTGGATCCATAGTCTTCATCAGGTACTTCTCCTCCTCTGTGTACATAGCTGCATCTGGCCGGAAGTCCACGGTGTAGTCCAGCGAGCGTATGGAGTCGGGCACAACATCTTCCCTCCGTCCCTCCTCATTCCACTGGTGCAGGTCGGGCCGCATGCTGTTACTGAGTTTCCTCTGGCGACCCTCTGACATGTTTTGCGAGAGCGTGTCCACTTTGAGTGTCCCAAAGGCCTCGGCCACCGGCGCGTAGATGGCCGTGCGCCGCTTCTCATGGACCTTGGACATGCGCTGGCGGCGCTCCTCACGATTGCTCTCCACAAGTTCCTTGTGAGTCGATACTATCTCACTGTTTGGAGGTAGCAGTGGTTGCAGAATAGAGAATGGGGGGGGGGTGTTTTAGGGGGAAGGGCGGGGATGGGAGTGCACACCAGTGGATGAGGTTGAATTGAATGTATTATCAAAGTGAGAGAGAAGTTGATGGTGGAAAATGGTGCAGAATGAGTTAAAAAGACAGGTGCCAACAGCAATTAACCAATACGGAGAGAGATGAAGGACATAATAGGAAACAATGTGATATAAGAATTACAGTAAATTTAAGGAGATGGTAAATGCAATTGCATGACAATGAAAAAGTTGAATGCCAGTTGGAAATGGGAAATTGACCCAAAACCATTCGGACAGAACACATGTAAAGTATGATAACAGCACAAAAAGGTGAGTTTACAAGTAAAAGTTTCAACAAGTTGAAAGACAAACGAAGATAATGACAGGAGTTGAAATTGGGAGGAAAAAGAAACAAATTCATTTTATTAGATTAAAAAACACTCTCACGATTTTGCAAGATGACAAAGTAAATGCATGATCGACCCCCTATTAGGAAAGTGTATAGCCAAGTTAGAGTGATCCAAGACGATCTCAAACGAAAACCTAAGTCATGCTAAGCAGGCATCAAAGGTAGAAGACTATATGATCACTAAATTTTGAATACTTAGAAGATTAGGCAAATGGCAAACCTTTAGAAGCAAAAAAATATAAAAGCAAAACATTTAGAAAATACTAATAAATAATTCCTTACTCTGAAAAACACTTTTAAAGCAAATCTATTATAAACACAACACTTCAAAACTTAGGAATACAGACTTTGGTTTTATTTCAAGCATCAAGATCTATTTTCATGTAATGCCTAAATGTTAAGAACAAAAACGAAACTGCTACAATCCTCTGCCTGACTAGAATATTCCTGAAAGAAAAGTTTGAGGAGATAAAGAGACCTAATGTTTTTATCCTAGCATAAAGCCACTTTCAAAAAGGTTCTACTAGAATCCAACTGTCCTGGCCTCACTAAATTCTGTGTTTTTAAACTTCACAATGTTACATACAACATTCGAATTTGGGCACATAACAATGTACATACACACCTTCCTGTATGGCCTAAGATTGAAATCTATGGAGAAATATGCCGAGTGACATGAGCAGTTACATATGATATATGTACCATACACTTTGATTCCTAAGCATGACTAAACCACTGACGCATCGACTGTGCCTTAAAAAGTGCCAGACATGGATATTCCAGAATCCAAAGTCAATGTGATCCTGAGCATGTGGCAATCCTCTCACACTCTGCCTGGTATCTAGCCTGATTTGCCTCTATCGCTAGCCTGACTTTCCCTGCTCCTTAGCTAGGCAGTTCAAAACCTGTCATCTCTGCTATCCACCTGAATCATGCACAAGCACAGGACGTTAGTGTAAAACAAATAAGACATAATGTCGGGAAACTGAAAAAGATGCTCTCTGCCGTGAATTCTAGGGTCTTACCTGTAATCAATCTCCCCGTTACCATCACGGTCAAGTGTAGCAACCAGCCTGTCAATCTGTCTTGGTGTGAGTGGAATGTTGGATCCCTGGAAGGAGAAAAGAACATCACTCAAATTCTTTTTTAAACATTCAAAATTTTGGCTTGGTTACACAAAACCTGTGGCACAAGACTGGTTTGACATACGCTCCACTGCTGAAATGCCAGTAGCCAGTAAGGCATTAGTCTGCTGAATAACTTGGTGGCATACTGAGGGCCATTCATGACAACCTGTGGCCCTTCTGGGATGGGGGGGGGACATACGCCTCATTACCATTAAGGGAAACAACCCCCTCCACAGACTAGCTAAACCATGAGTACTGGTTCCCTCCTGGTTCATACACTTGCCACATCAATCCTTCAATACCCAGATGAGTTTATTCACATACCAAGATACCGTTCTTGAACTCATCCCGTGTGACGGTCAGGCTATTGTCTTTATCATAGGCCTTGAACAAGTCCCATATCCTCAGGTTGTTCTTCTCAATGTGCTGCACCAGTAGCTTTAAGGGATCAGCCTCTTTCTCTGGGGGCTTCTCAAACTGTCCAATTGCACCCTTGAAGAAAACCAGGAAGTTGGTCCGGCCTTGTTTGATCTCCTCTAGAAGGTCGACAAAATCTTTGTTCACGACAATGTCCTGTAAATGCCAACGCCAAAGTTTGCAAAGCTGTGTCATTGCATCAACAAGAGAACATTCAAACATGATCAGATAAAGAACTGGATCCACATGTCTTGGATTCAAAAGTTGATACAAACAAAAAGCTCATTAGCAAGAGCAGCAGACATTACCTACCCGTTTTGTTTACACAGGATACAGAACCTGTTACCTTACAGGGTCAGTGTCTGTAGTCAACTTCCAGACTTTAGTTGGGCAATCAAAAACTAATTAAGCTAATGTGGCAGCTAATTTCTAATGTAAACAATCTGGCCTGATTCAATCAATTAACTCCAGGGGTCTATGGCCAGACAGGAGGTTCAAACTTTTATGTGTCTGCAGTCTTGCTGGCTAACTGGGGGCCTCCCATTAATAAATGACAGGCTCTCTGCTGCCTACTAAAATGGGAAAGGGCCATAAAAACAGCTTCAGCCTGGTTGCAGCAACCATTCTGCTAGTGTGTTTTCAATGGTAATCTGCCAAACACAAATACTTTGTACAAATAGGAAAAGGGGGGGGGGGTTTCCATTGTAACTGTTATGTAATGGATATTACCTGTTTATCCCTGAGTGCTCTTTGCAAACTAATCTGCCTTACAGCTTTTGTTTTTCCTGCTAGTAAATTGCTTCTAAGTATCATAATGATAATTTAACAGTGAGATGTTAATAAATGAAATCTATATTAAAATACAAGAGAAAATTAAAGAAAGATTCTTTCACATCTGTGTCGTTCATACTTAAACTTTTCCTCCCGTGCACATTTAATGTTTGTGGAGCATATATCACAGATGGACAGATGGAGGTAAAACTCAGTATAGATAATCCATCAGATGTGCTTTTCTAAAGGTTATCTTTATACCAGTGCTGAAGGGCCCATCATCCTAAATGGTCAATGAAACAAAGTAATGTTACTTACAGTGAGATCTAACTCATCCAGCGCCGAGTTGGAATTGTTTTTGATGGCCATCAGTAGAGCCATAGCTCCCGCAGCAGTAATGGGATTCATTCCCAGCTGCACAAAAGTTTTTTTTCATTAATAACAAGAACTTATGTAGTATTCACAGAATAATAGTCGTTGATGAAACTCTCAAATTGCAAGAAAGCTTGTACTACTAGATCAATACGGCAACCAGGCTCAGAAGCCATTAAGAGGCACCATGCATGCTCGGTTGCAGGTGATGCAAGCCAAAGGTATCTTTATCCAATCACGTGTGTCAATTTCACAATTCTCCATTTTGAAATATTTTCAACAGTGGGCTTACTTCAATAAAATCGAATTTGAATCTATTTGCCATGCATTCCTGAAAGGGCAGAAATATAGCGGATTATTTCAACAATTCTCCTGCCTAGGGACACAAACATCAGTATTCCCAAACAAGCTTATGACCGTATTTTGGAGACATCTTGCTTTAACAATTTTCTCTCAGGGTACTTTGAAGAAAAACAATTTAGACACACCACTCACCTTGAGTATCTGTAAAGAGTCATTGACTTCTATGCCTTTGGACAGGAGTAGAGCTCCTTCGTCTGCTATTCTGTTGTTGCTCAAATCCAACCACTGCAGTGTGCTGTTAAACTTAAGTGCTTCAGCCATGGCTAGAGATCCGTCATTGGCAAAGCCATTCCATGACACATCAAGCTTCTTGATGGATAGATTTTCCTGAAAATTTCAAAGTTTTTACTGATGCTGACAATGGAGAATGGAAGCTGACTCCTGATTTGAATAGCGTAACAAGAGAAATGGTGATATGTGCGCCTAAAACCTGATTCATAGCTTCTCACAAGTAGGCAGTAAGGAAGCTATTCAAATATAACTGAATGCATCCAGTACATATATAAATCTAGAAGGATCAGTATCTGGTTTGATAATGGGTACACTGGACTCTCCTTCAGCAAAATCCAAAGGCAAGCAGGAACTCTTCCACTTACTGCCATGCCTCTGCATATTGATATTGCACCATTCCTTCTGAGATGATTCCAGCTCAAGTTGAGTACACTTATGGATTCAGCGGCAGCTAAACGGAAAAAGGTACAAACAGGGTAAATGCAAGTTATGCATCAGTTAGTGGAACAGAAAACAGTTGAACCTTCCCACTTTGAGATAGGAGGTTAAAGCAGAAAACAAGGCCGAGTAAATTCATTGGCAACAGGGGAAGAAATATTAACAGCACTTTCTATCGGGGTCTGCTGTATTGACTGCCTCACATGCAAAATTCCACATTGTATGAAGCCACCAATGAAAAAAGGGGCATGATGATGAACATCAACAAATGTTTGTATTTTTTTTACCCTAGGAAGCAACTGTTCTGTTTCCCACAGTGTAAAAATCTTTTGCCCAAGACTCATTTCAAAGGTACATCAGTTTAACACTCGTATGTGAAGTCGCTGTATGAAAAATGAGATTTCTCAAAATACAAATAGCTTTTTATTGTCATTTACCTTTTGGTATTTACACGGAGCATTTATGTATAACCAATGCACTGTGTGGATGACCGCTTTTCTGGCCCATTCATATTGATGGGGCTGTTATTGCTGGGTACAAAGGCTGTGGTCAGACGGCAGTCAATTAAAGTTAATCATTAACTCCATGACATGATTTACACCTCCGCCTGTTGAGTGTTTACTGTAGCCAACGGTGGTTCGTAAATATGCAAGGCATTCTTTATGTTCAGAATACTACACAAAGTGAATTGCAGACTTCCACTTTGAGTCTCTGATTAGTGTTTGCATAGCGAAATCAACTTGACTTTTTTAAGTGGTATGGATCAATCAATATTGTTCATTTTAATACTGCATGCTCTGATAGATGTATAGAGGGCCAAAACAACTCTGTTCTGATGGTAAATATTACACCTAGTATCATAACAAATGTGTGGAGTTTTATTTCAGTTTGATTACAATAAAAATACTGCAAGTTTTTTTTATTTATTCTTGTAAGAAATATTTTTGTAAGAAAAAAATTAATCCTTTCAATTTTATAAAAGCTACATATTACTCCCAATTTTTTTTACATTAATATACATAACTTCAAATATCAAAATACCTTGCCATGTTGGATCATGTTGGACTAACAAAATGAATTAACCATCTCATTGTAATTTTCTAGCTCAAGGTGAAATGCAATGCTTTTGGCGGCCACAAATAAAGACTCAATAATGGACAAATGCTGCTTCATCTTGGTCTTACCAATGCCTTGGCCTAAGATCTCTCCACCAATCTCTGCAAACTCATTATGGCTCAGATCCAACTCCTTAAGTCTGTAGTTAATCTGTCAGGGAAAATGGAAAGGAAGAGAATCAGAAGCAAATATCTAAAAGTCCTTCTGTGTCAACTTCATCAGAAAAATGGTTGGCACTACAAGAAACCTATTCTGTTTTAACTTCATATGTAAATGACAAAATGACCATTCGGAATCCTAGTGCATAAATTATTTAGATCTTCTATCTCCTGGGTACATTATTCACATTTGAGTTTTTAAGGGGAGGATTTTTCTCTTCATGATTTTCTTAATGTCCTTTTCCAAGGTGTTTTGATTTTATACCTTCATAGCATCTGCAAATGGTTGGGCATCACGATCCTTGAAGTCATTTCCTATACAGAAATAGAATCCATGAAAGTTGACAGTTAAATGTTTAAAGAATTTTTACAGCAGTTTACTGATAAGCATTTCAACTGTTAGTAGCTTTGGGCAGTCTTCCACACACACTGAACATGATTCCTGGTAGGTTGAGCCTCTAGGCATTAGAAAATTAAAATTGAATTAATGAAAATTAAACATTACAAAATGTTACATTTCTTACCTGCAACACTGACTTTCCTGATGCTTGTGTTATCATTAAGCATCTCTCCTACGACCTTAGCCCCTTTCGAACGCATCTTGTTTCCTGCCAAATTCTACAACGAAATTCATCAAACAGAATAGTAAAGCGTACATGTACACTGGAACGCAGAACTTATCAACGTAAACATTCTCTTCTCACCAAAAATCCTACAAAATTTCGGTAGATTGCTTGTGACTTACCAGATCACTGATATAGCAATTTTCTTTCATCATCTCGGCTATGTAGCCTGCCCCCTCACCTTCTATCCAATTGTCTTCAAGATCAAGGGTTAAAACTGATGTATTTGTCTAGTATTCAAAGAAAAATGAACAAAACTGTCGCTAAAACAAAAACAAACAAAAGAAATTAAATCACCCATACCTACTCAACTAAAGGCAATAAGCAGTGCTCTGAAAAAATATAAAAAGAAACCCTGATGCTGTAAAATGGTTAAACGTGTCAATGTAGATAGGGAACTATTATATTGTAAATCCAATGAAATCTGTTAACGTCTCTCACCAGGGTTATTTTATTTTAGAAGACAGCAGAATCTCTTTGACAGGGATATCAACTTTTGACTACTTACAACCAGCGGGATAGCAATTGCTTTCGCCCCTAAGGGGCCGAGGCCATGGTGTTTCATGCTGATCTTGTTGGTGGTTATGTGACGAAGGAAGTGAGACACTGGAACCACCCCTATCTCCTTGCAGGCCTGGGTGTAGGCCCGTCTCCCTGTGGCATCATAGGATTCCTTGGAGTCTTCTGTTGACAGAGAAATAACCAGTGGAGAGCAACATTGACCGTAACTGTAATTAACGACTATTTAACAGATTCACTGATTCAGGGTAGAAACCACTTTTACATATCACACAGCTGGTATTTACTCTTTTCCACAAATTTATAGTTCATGAATCAAATTCAAAATATTTTTGTTGACAGAAAAAGCATGGCAAGTTGTATTATTATGCCAATAACACCCAAATATTCATAATTTGTTTTGAAAATGTGTAATAAAAGTGTTTTTCAATAAAACAAAAACATGTTTAAATACTAGCTTGTGGCAGTCATTGTTCAAGTGAAATTATACACATCTTACAATATTTTAACAGCTTTTAACAATATCCCACTGAACCAGAATTTGCATACTTCTGCCAGGAAAATAATATTCTCCTAGAGTCCAATGGAAACAGCATTATAAACCTTACTTTTTTGGCAGAACGGGCATGGAAAGCATTTCCCAGTTCAACTCACATCCTTAACTAACCCAAATTAATTACTCTTTAAACAAGTACAACCAATGTATATTCTTCTTTCTTTACAATGTTTCATTAATTTCAAGCAACATTTTGGCACTTGACAAATACACTATTGATAAAGACATCCCGCTAGTCCCCAATTAGTTGGGACGGGCCCAACTATAGTTGGGGCAAGTGAGACTACTTCATAGGGGAATGTGTAAACATCAATTCATGAGTTGAAGCTTGGCCAGGTTCAGTCCTAGTCACAGAAGTAACAATACTTCAAAGATACTGCTGTAACCGTTCCCCACTCTTGCATCAAGAATATGCTGTGTTTTGCACAAGTGTCATAAACCTCCAGTTCAGGGGACAATTCCATTTAAACTTTTCCTTTCTTTACGATTCAATACAGTTGGCTTTTAAAGTGTTTATCAGCTGCACTGATTTATGCATTGGCTGCCAAGATACAAGCCAAGTACTCCATTCATTCTGAGGAGCGTGCTCAAAGGGAACCTGCTTTTTACCAGTTAATACATCAAGGATGCGACTTCAGGCTTCAAGGACCTACCTGTGCATTTGTAAAGGCCAACAATAGTCCCATGATACAAGAAAACCAGACTTGGCCAACAAATAGTCTTGGGGGTAAACAAGCTAGAAAGAGCACAATGTGCATGGTGGCCTGGTGTATCTTCCTGTACTTGTCTTACTGTGTCTGTGTCCTCTGAAACAATTTTCCTCTGTTCCGGATACATTTTTTTCAAAGGTTTATCAAGTAGACCTTGCATATTTCATTACACAGAAACAGGCAGTAAACCTAGCTTGAGGTTTCCAGAACATGATTAGCATTAACATGGAATAATTATATGGTAAACTGATCTAGGCATACAAAAGTTTCATCAAGGTTGAAGTGAAGTTATGTGACTATGAGGAACATCCGAATGTACACAATCATGCTCCTTGCTAACGAAATGTACTCAAATCAGGCTTTAAATATGTGCATCGAAACGTGGAACATATTCTGCCCTGGTAGGTTTTTTAATTTCATTTTTAGATTTATCCTAGTCTTTATTGGGCCTGTGCAGACCACTGGAGGCTTAACCTCCTGTAGCCTACCTTCTATTTCCAAATCGGTGTCCCACCCACTGTCCGACTCCTCGTCTGATACACCTTCGTGGATCACTTTGATGTTCACCGGGGTATTGTATCTCTCCGACAACTCCTGTGAACCGGGCCGGGACTTCTGGTCTTCCCCGTCATCGCCGACAGCAGAGCCCGGTGGCGTGCCCCGACCGTTCTCTGTGACGCTGGATGACATGTGGACTGCCGACAGGGGCGGTCCGTTGGCCGACGAGCGCGTCGATCTTCCGTCGGCTTTGGCGGAGCTGCCGGTCGATGTCACCCCAGCCGGTGTTGTTGTCCCGTTGCCGGTGGTAATGTAGTCTGTCGTAGCACCACCTTCGTCCTGGACGTGTACACAGAAGGACGGAAAAGGTACAGTGATAAAGTTTGGACTTTGTAGCGCAACCCCGCTTTCACAAAGACTGAATGAAATATGAGCGCATTTGTGTTGGGACGTGTTGGGATAGTTCATTTCACAATCAGTCTGCGATGGTGGCCTTAGCAACGTTGTCATTCTAGCGGAACTGCAGAATAAATTTTTGTTGTGATCGAATGTAGGCTACGCATGCTTGGGTTTGGATGTAATCATGGGAGCACACTAGCACGTACTACGGGAGCTGAGGTGCTGGTAGGGGCCTACTGACGGCATTTCTAACTTTTGGAGAGCGCTTTACGTTTTCATCTTTATTTAATTATTAGTAGTTGATTTATCAATAAAAATAATTACAAGCAATTTTCAAACAGTTTCTATCCAGTTTACATTTTAGTCTAAACTTACTTGATTTTACGTTTACTCTTTAGGGGCGCTTTAAAATCTTGGGCCGTATGTAAATAGGTATTGGCTACGATTTCACTTCGGGTATCTTACAAGCACCAAAGGAATATCCACTTGTTCCGGTCACGTATACATGTAGGCTTCAAGCATTTAAGAAAATAAATAAATAAATACATAATAAGAAAAATAAAAGTAAAGTAGTACGTGGCATACACTTAAATGGTACTCTGCTATTTTTGGTAGCACAGTAAGCTGGCAGTCACTTGCAAGGCATTGCGATGTCATAGACCTACTGGACGAAAGGAAAATCGATGCAGGCCTGTGCCCAAGCAGTGAATCAAACAAGAAATAAAGAGCCATTCTTCAAAAGTTTGACTGGTATCGATTTCCAATATCGATCACAGATGTAAATCCCACTGATTGTCGTTTAACACTTAACAACTTCACATAGCTCATGTGTCCCACCGTTAATTCCTCATCAAGCGAGAACACCCCACCACTCAATATGGTTTCCTTCGAAGCACGCGCATCATGAGCGACGGTCAGCCTTCCCAAATGGCTTTATTTCGAGTAATAATCGGCATTCCGTGTTACTGTATCCGATCCCTTCCAAATACATCTATGGTTAGGCAAAAATTTGCTTTCCTTTTAATTTTGTCTGCGAAACATTCTTACAGTGCATGGCCTTTTTGAGCCGTTCCTAGCAAGTATCACCCTCCAGTCAGATCGGGTCCAAGAAAGGCGTTCATCTTCATGGTCTGAAAGTTGCCAATTCCAATGAGGGAAAGTTGAACGTGCTCCTGACTGACGAGTTTATTTCTGAACAGAGACAAAGTAATGCAAAGACGAAAACACTGCAGAGACCCAACGCAGGTATTGAATTCAACACCTGACCAGCACACCTGTAGCACCTGCCTGCCTCTTCAAGGTGTCACCTTGTCACACTCGAGTTCAGGGGGGTGAGACTTTTCGACTTGAATTTGCCACCACAGTCCACTAGTGTGACAGGCCAAGTGAATTCGATTATAAAGGAGTTCCTATCCCCGCCCAGTCTACTACACTTGTGAACGCTCAATTCACAACAGGCTACTGAAGAGAAAGTCTAGGCCTATCCAAATAAGAAATAATTTCAACACTCTGATTATCCTTTCTTAATCGTTCATTTCTCAAACAAGATATAATATCACAGCAACATCAATTTAAATTTGTCGTTGGGGGTTATTTCACTATTTACGGCTCCAAAAAAAATCAAGAAATCAAGTGAAAGCTTTGCTGAATATCAGAATAACTCACAACATGGGCAAGGACATGACAGCGCGGAATAGAATGCCAGGCCCTGAGTATGAGTACCGTAGACTACGGAACAGGCCATCCTACGGTTCTACGATGTCGGACTTGGAAAGGATAGAACTCGACCGCAAGTAAACCACCTTTTCACGTCACGCTAGTGTAATTCGTCTCCAATCCTTTTTGCATGTGTACAGACAGAACTACACTGCAGTGCACGAATAGCATTGCTTACCTTTTCGGCATTCACACCAGTGTGTGAATTTTGCCCGTCTTCGTCCATGGTTCACTAAACTTTCGAAACAATGGTTACTGTATTCACGATATTTATCGATTCCCAAGTATAAATCCTCGAAGAACAACTGGAAGCGAGAAGAAACGACTGATTCTTCCGAATCCCGTAGATCTTGTTTGCTTTTTTCGATTGTGAAAAGCACTGGTACTCAAGGCCACCCTGTGAATGGGGCACCGAACAAAACAGTGTTTAGACAAGCGTTCCGCTTCGAAGAACACGACGGCACGCACGCGATACGGTCTCAGCGTCCCGTCACCATAACAACGCCATTAAAAGCAACTGCAGGACGTGCAGGAGGGTGGTGGCATGAATGGGAACACCAAAAAGTCCAAATATAGAAATTGACTTTTTTGATCATGTGCCGCAAGCCATTTGGCATGGCCCAACTGAATATCATTTGAGCACAATTGAAGGCCCGAAATATTGATAGATTGAAGGCTTTTGCAAATCCTGAATAATCAAATCACAAAGAATCCAACGGGTTACAGAGTGACGTAATGGGTTGATTCGGTTCAATTTTATGCTAAAGGAAGAGGGTAATTGGTAAAATGTACAATGTTGTGAAAATTGTCATTTTTCCATCATAACATTGTACATTTTAAGAGTCGAGTGTGTTCTCAGCTCTATGGTTGGACCCACCATATTCACGTAAAGTGGTTGGAACAAGCATGGAACAAGGAGGCTCTGCGGGTTGAATGTACATGATGTCAGCCTGTGAACCGATACAGTGGAATTATTACACGTCTAGTCATCGCAAAACATGTAGGCTAGTATTTTATGTAATGCACGAACCAGTATGGGGTACAGTCCACTAGTTCAAGCCCAAAATCAGCACTGTCCAGGGCCCAATAACATGCATACCAACATCGCTGAAATTTCTGAAACACAAATTAGATTATTGTCTGGTCCCTAATGTTTCAATTTCTTTTCAATTTTTGGTTGGTTAACCAATTACATTTTTAATTATTCCCACAAAACAAAATTATCCCCCGAAAAGTGATTTTTCCGAAGTCTCATTGCGGCCATTTTTCAAGTTGCAACCCTCAACTTCACTTTATAAAAAGTGTCAACCGATTTTTTTTTTCAGCCATTCTGCTTTCAATGACCCAGGGAGTTGATCCTGGCAACGAATTACATGGTCTCACCATTTTGGGGACCAAACAACTTCCTTTTTCAAAAGATACTGTGGGGCACTATTAATGCTCATAAGATGGCCAGAAATTCTGACTTGAATTAGTAGACTGCACCCTCAGGGCAATTTTAGTTTCCCACTTACTGGCTTAATAGAAGTAGAAATGTTGCAAAATACGCAGCACCATTATTTCGTTATTTCATAATCAACCATCCTTCAACGTAAGATTGAGCTACATGTACTTGCTTTTGCGGTTCCGCGAACAGGTGCTCCAGCCTCTCGAATAGCCATAGTTGTAGGGTCCGTAATAGTCCGTTTCTTGAATTCTATTATAATTGCGGGATTCAAACCTTTAACTTAGTGAAGAAAGTGTTTTCACGGCTGAGACATTAAAACTAACAGTTCAATATTTCATTAACAAAATGTTAAAATAATTTTAAAAACTGTACGACGGGAATTTACAATACTTTTGAATCGGAAAAGTATGCGTTTTCAAGGGTCGTGTAAAATGTGATATTTTCATCACAATTCAGATACAGTTATGGCCTTAGACATTGCCCCATGAGGATCCTATCCCACATCGAAATGGCCTCAAGGCATTCCTTTTGTCTAGAAAAGTTATCATCCCTTAAAAAAAACACGCGTTTCCTTGGGCCTCATGTGTACACGCACGGGGCTGCGTTTTAGCCTCTTTCTGACAGTATGTTAGTATAATTAACTTTAACAGCTCCCGTTATATTTCGGCTTGAGCTTTCGTATATAAGTGCACCATTGGGGCTTGGACACCACATACACTGGGGGCGCTGTTCATGATACAGATACATGTACATTCTAAGCATACTTGCAACCAACCTTGCTGCCAAAATGCGTATCTAAAAATGCTTTTGTACTTATTTCCCCCTTTTCAAAACTACCAAATACATTTTGTTCCTTTCGAAGTTTGAACAACACTAACAAGTCACTCTTTACCACTAAAAAGTGTATGGGGGATGATGGACTAGTCCATACCTTGATCAAAAGTGGGGATACATAATCCCAATCCCCTGGGATACACAATCCCGTCAAAAACACAACAAAAAGCATTTTAGATTCGTCGAGATAAACAAGAAATAAAACATCTGTACAGACTTTCAATCCTGCCAAATAAATCTCTCTTTATTTTGCTTTTCTTCTATGAGGTGTACTACAATGAATAAGAAATTCATACACAGCGAGAAAAATAAAGCCAAAAAACTGTGAAAAGTTTATCCAACAAAGAATTATACAAAAGTATTAAACTTTCTCTACACTAAGAGAAGATATTGAATGAAAATCATGACCAATTCTGTGAAACAGCCAAATGATAATTCTTGACTGATTATTTCGTTCCTTCACCATATTCTGTACATTTATCTAGAAAAGTTGTAATCAAGTCATCAAACATTGATCATAAGTCAATCCCAAGTCGAATCATCCAATCAAGATTAAAGTCATATGCATTTCAGATGAATTCAGACACAAGTATTCCTTACAGTCCTTCCCCAACGTTCATCCTCTCTCACACTGACCTGACCTCTAACCTGACTTGAAAATGCAGTTACACCACTCCAACCTCATACACTGAAAGCCAAACAGTAAACTTGAATTTCCAAAGGACACATCCCACGATATCACTGAATATTTTGACACCCACATATCTATCCAATGGTTTATATAACATTCAGGTTAAGATTCGGATACTTATTAAACAGTTATTCAACTGACATAATGGTTTTCTTTACTCCATTTACTACAAGTGCAAGATCTGTACCTTTATCATTTTCCCAGCAGTGCAGGATTAATCTTTCACACAAAGAGTGACTGTGTTTGCACAGTTTTTTAATCACCCTGTTCTAGTAAATAAGATTTTACACTTGGTAATACAGGACTGTACAGTTCACTTTGCTGAACCTTGGGTTATCCTTCTTATGGTCCTGGTTTCACTGACAACACACACAACGAGACAGGGAACTACATTTCATCTTGATTTGTCTGGACCTGTGATTGTGGTCCGGAATTTCAGGTATTTCAGTATTTCAGTAAAGTTACTTTACAACCCAACTCAACTATATCACATACATGTACACTACTGCCCTATTAACTTATTGCAAGTAACCACAAATGCTTGCACAAAATCTGAAACTCCAATAGACAAATTGCGCACCGTAAATCACATGACCTATAGTGGGTGTCAACTCCATAGCAATGAGTGTTTTGAGTGTGGTTTACAAACAATACAGCTAAATTATGGTAGAGTACCCAGCACATCAGTAGTCTGGGTACTGTACCTACCGTCAGCTTTATTTTTGGTAAATGATACTTATGGAACACTTTGCTTTTGGTGGACGCCAGGTTTGTTGAACTTAATACCCACTACAGGTCACGTGACTTAGCAGACGCAATCGGTCTATTGCTGACCACTTAATAAGAGGCACTTTCTAAGTTACAATACACCTTTTGCCAATCTGGTCAGTCAAGAACTGAATAACTGGCATCTTCTGCATCCCAAATCATCAAAATGATGCCATCTTTATAGACATATACAGACATATTATATCATCCCTATTGAAACCTGCTTGACTGGCAGCATACTGATATTTACCCACACCTCACATCATCACTTGAGAAGATCCATGGTCACGAATACAGATCTTAAATTCACCATTGCTCTTAACAGAGAGAAGCTAGGTTGATTGTTGGACACAACAGTCATGGTGGTTGTGGTATCCACACTAAAACTCTTCCAGTTTGTGCACTGTTCACCTGAGTAATTTTCAATAGTACTCTCTGCCATAAAAACAAACATGGGCTTATACATGGGGCCTTGTGGGGTACCAGAACAATGGGAAGTACCCCAAAACTGATATTTGGAAATACTCAAAGAGGGGAAATTTTTGATGGGTAAAAATCTGTCGCAAATTGAAGTGTTTTATATAAGGGACAGACGGTCGAAATTTCAACCCAGGAAAGTGAATTCGGTTTAGATTGGAGTGATTTGAAATTTTTTTGCATGTTGTGTGGGAGTTTTGTACACAAGAACAAAGGGAATACCCCACAAGTATAGCTGTGTAAGGATGTGTGAGTAAACGTGTGACGTATTGGCCCAGAGGGACAATGTAGCTAATGAACTGCTCACTCATCCATTGTACTAACGAACTCTCACTCGTCCAGAACCAGTGCACTTAATAGCCGAATGGAATACCAAAGTCCATTGCACATCCGTGGTCTCCGTCGCTGTCTGAGTCATCCGTGTCCCAGTACTCGCTGTCCGAGCTCCAGCCGCTTGAGTCATCATCATCGTCGGCCAAGTCGAAAAACGAGTGCTCGTAGTGGTCCTTGCTCATGACCACCGGCACGATCAAGATGTTGACGGCCGTCTCTGGCAGCTGCTTGGCCAGTATCTCGGTGAGGGACCGCACCGCTGCGCTCTTGACGGCCGTCTCTGTGGTTACATTGTATGGGTAGTCCTGCCTCGGGGTGTCAAAGGTGATGATGGGGACCCCCCAGGTCAACTGGCACAGGTGCCTAAGATTGCCCAGGGCATTGCACCTGTCCAAATTGGTCTGAATCAGCTGGTTGGAATGAAGATGGGAGGATGAATAATGCTTTACAAGGACATGAACGTTAATGTTAGGATTGACAAAAAAATGGGGTACCATTGGTGGGTCCAGCATTGACAAAAGGGGGGAACCTGGTATTTCCAAATGGGAGTTGCCCCAAAAGGAAGTAAATGCACACATTCGAGTCATAATATAAAGGATAATTTTTGTCTTTAAATTTTAACCAAGTTGGCAGCAAAAGGGGAAAAAATAACAGCATGGAAGAGGAAAAGGGAGCGTCCAACACAAATCCACAAAAGCAAGGGGGTGCATGCCACGTGTGTCCCCTCCTCTCCCAGAACAACTGCTGAATATGCTAAGGGAGGCAGAAATAGAGCATGGACTGGTAAGTGGGAGATGAGCTTTCTAAAAAAAACCAGAAACGTCCATACAAGAAGTCAAAAGAGAGAAACCCTGACTTCTCAATGACTCCGTTTGTCATGTTTCAATATATAATCACACCATTTTTGCCCTCAAAGCATGATTTTTCTAATAACTAAATTAATTAAATGGAAACTGTGCCTTGTAAAAGAAATTTGATCAAAGTCTTCTTCAATCCACTCTATCAAGAAGTACAGCCTCAACAGCAAAGCAGAGTGAGGCTGGTAGGGAGAGATTGAACTGGGGGCCCAGCGCACATGTAAAAGATGTATATTACAACAGAGATTGGTTGTGAGCTCAAGCAGTCTATCCCCACCAAAGGGATGTTGCTGCTGAATACAAGAATGCCGTCTCTTGTTCCTGCACCGAGTGAACCTGATTCCTCTGACTTTGGGAGGGGGTGTCCCAGTTTGACTTTGGGGCAAGGGTTAGGGGATAGAGCAGGCTGACTGTGCAGGGCTTTGACAGACTCACACCTGGAGCCAAGGGACAGCTTAAGAGAAGTTCAAAAGATGATCGTTTGCCAACCACTGCCCGATTTTCCCTGGTAACCTGTGCATAAAATACATGTTGGGTGCCAGGCAAAATTGTTAAAGAGGTTGACAAATGACCGTTGCTGAAAACTTGCCATAAGCAAATTCCCAGGAAGCTTACCGGCGCTTCACATCCTGCGGCACAAGGTCCCATCACATGACCTCGTAGACAGACCATGGGCCAAAAGGTGAGAGACTGCAGCTTGACCAGGCACTGCAACGCAGGGTTGATGTCGCTCGGCATGGTGTACATGATAAGTTCTAGCTTCTCTAACCTGAGAATGCAGATAGGATACAGGAAAAGTTGGACACTGGTCAGGGCAGATTGACAAGCCATGCTTCATGCACTTTGTTGGGATTTCTTAACTTGTAAAAAGTGTTTGTTGACTTCCTTCTTTTAAAGATTACACAAAGGAAACTTGTTAAGAAAACCTGCAATATCTGCACGAAACAAAGATTTACGATTCAGTGAGGAAGCAAAAATACAGAAGCCAACCAAGAGGATTAGAAGTGATAATTAGTCACTGAATTTCCACAGTATATATACAACTAATGTCGCTCCTTGAGTATTTTCACTAAATGACTCTTTTTACAGTTTGCATTCAGCAATACTAATGTCAGCTCTTTCCCACAATGCAACATACATGTACAGGCAATTGAGCATACAGGAAAGTTGTGCTGTTTGGAAGCATTATTGTCTAAGATGTCCAAAAGTACACAAATACATAAAACATTACAATCCACAATAAACTTGATTTCATCAAATCTTGACTCCAGGCCTTCATAAGAGATACAGATTGGAAATTACAAATGACCAAACCATAAAAGTTCTTTCAACGTGTACCTTAANAGTAATATCTCTAGTTACTTTTTTGTCTTCTTGGGACAATCCAATGGAAACAAAACAGACTTTACCCTGTCAATTTTCGAAGTGACTCTGAGATATTGCATGTACACTGTGGTGTAAAATCCTCATCACACCAGCAACCTCCATTCTCCAGTCTTAAACTACGCAGGTTGGTCAGTTTACCCAAGATACTGTATGTCTGAGGGGAAAACATGAATCTTTAAATATCAATGGCAGCTGAATCTGACAGGAAGTGAATCTTAGTATGTCAACATGCCGATAAATAAAAAAACACATTTAAAGCATGTCCTTTAAAATATCCCCATTTCTAGTAAGCATCTCTAATCACAACTGAGTAAATATATAATGAAATCATGAATTTGATTTGAAATCAATTTTCACTCATAGTGAGTTAATCAGACCTCCAGAGGCATTTTTTGGAAAAGAAAAAAAGGTTGTATCTAAATCTGATTATTCACCTGTTATTGTGGACAGTCATTAGCATAATGATTGGCAAACTGATCAGGTCTCCACCTTGTGTGAATGTGCAATATTCAGCTGCTGCATACTGTTTTCTGTCTCTGCATTCTGTTAGTGCTCATCTGTTTTGATACACTCAAGCAGTCCCTCCTTTCTCAAATTTGTAACCATTTTTTTAAGCCATCCATATTTACAGATTCCAAGAATGCTGCTGAAGTCTGTGTCAATTTACCTCTGCCCTCCAGTTGCCACAGTCTCCAAGTTCTAGCTCCACAAGATCTGGCAGCTTATTCAAGAACTGATATTCAGATGGCATGATCCTCGATTCGTGTAGACTTGTCAGTGACTGCAACACATGTCAAATGAAAATAAAAAATTAGGAAAAAGACAAAGGAATTGAAGACTGATATTAATCTGAACAGAAATTCTGTGGCGCTTAAAAATGGTGACACAACCCAAAGGTTTTATGGCCAGATCATATTCAGTGTGACAGTGAGTGCAGGCGCAAATTTGTGAGTTTGGCAGAATTTGCACTTTGAATTATTAAACACATTTCAGCCCAGGTGCATGTTGCTGCAGATGCTTTGTGATGTCAAACAGTGTTGTTAAGATCAGACACAACACTACTCATAAGACCAGACTCAAGACCACCAGAGT